AGCTCCATGTCTAAGCCCCTGCCATGACCACCCCTCTCACCTCAGCGGGGGTCTTTGATGAACTCCATATCACCTCACACAATCATAGCGATACAAGGTGGCACCATTCTGGACATGAGCAGAGACATGACTGTGTGTTGGTTTTGTGTGCTGCAGATATTGTTGTAAACCTGCGAGATACAAAAATAGAGGCGGAAAATAAATCAAAGAGATGGAGAAAAATAAAAAAGTGAACGTTTGTGTGTTTGTTCAATGTCCCCTCGGTTAAGGCTGCAGCTAATGGACTAAGATAGTACCTTCTCCATTACAGTAGCTGTGCTGATGACCCAAATGGACATAAACATTCTCCATGGAGGTAGAGAGCATATTGTGGAGTCAGTTATTTGCTAGATGGAAAACCCTTCCTCAAAAGACATATGAGCATTAGAAAGAAAAGAGAGATGTTGTTCATGTTTAATCATGAATTCTGACCTCTCAAATAAAATAGTGTTGTTTAATTCTTGGACAGAATTCTGATTTATTAAAACAGTACAATGGTAAACTAATGCTCAGTTTAAATTATGTTATTATGTCGGGTAATCATAGAGCAGAAGAATTAGAAGATTGTATACGTGACACATTTTACAACAGAGTAACACTGTGAGGAAAATAAATTGGGGAGGAATTGTTCTCCCCTCCTCTTCACTAAGTCACTAAAGTTAAATTGTTGAGAATAAAGTGAAAATATAGCATTGAGAATAAAGTCTGTTAATACAAAGCTCGCTTTCAGAGGCTGTAGGCTTATAAACTTTGCTGAACAGCATGCGATTCAGCTTATGTCTGTCGTTATTAACACCCCCTGAAGTTTTTATCTCCTTTTTCTTGATACCATTTTGAAATTTTTATTTATTGAACGTTTGACTTTATTCTCAATACTATTTTTCAATTTTATTCTTAACATTCCAACTTTACTGACATAGGTGAAGAAATACTTCACCTATGTTTTTTTTTTTTCCCTCACTCTGACCCTAATAATGACATTATATTTGCATTTATATGCAGAAACATCTGTATATTAACTTTTTCTATTCCGTAAAAATTCTATGATTGTTAAGGGATGGTCGTTAAGGAGGTATTGTTCACCGGCAATCATAGACAGGTTTCAGGTATTACAGGAGACAATCCCCCCCTTAATGGCAATCCCCCCCTTTAACGACCGACCCCTAGAATCATAGACAGGTTCAGATATTACAGGCTAACGATGAAACTAAACGACCCATTCATCGGTTACCATTGCATGTTTCCAAGCAATACAAGGCCTTGTCCATATAAGACTCAAACTCACTGCGGATCCAGACATTTGAATTGAGAAAACTTCCTGGAGAGGTGGCGAAACGTCTTCAAATCTTGAAACCAAGTCCAGTGGATATTTTTTGAATTTTTACGGAATGACTATGACCTGGATGACTGAGAACCTTCATCAGCATATTTACTTTTTCTACATTTTTATTTGGATAGTTTGAAAAATATTAACAGATCTTAGCTGTTAACTGTGAAACAGGCTACTACCAAAATAGAGAACATGATTTGTAAGTTTGTCAAGGTGAAAAAAGTTTGCTATGTGATTTTCTTTAGTTGAATGTTATAATTCTCTAATCTTAAATATCCCATTGTATGTTTAGGATTGATGTCATACTGAAAAAATTAACCTTAGAGAAAAGTTTTTTTTTTTTTTTATTTATACGCATTTTTTTTTTTTTTGCAAGTCTAACAGCCTGTTGGCATTATTTGACCTGATCATGTACCGCCACATGTTTTGCTCCCTACATGCCATCCATCACTGTTTGAATGCACTACTTCTGTCTTTCTATCAGCTGTGGCTTTCCTCTAGACACACCTAATTAAAAGATAACATGACTGTGGTAAGCAGGACCAATACTCTCAAAACCTGAATTTTAGATCTCCACTGCTCTTCTGGAGTGACCACTGGGCTAAGGTTTAGGTAAACACCCAGGTCTTGGTAGTTCTGCAGGTCTGTCATAATCTCTCTATTTTTGGGGTAGTGGCTTTTACAGTGCCAACCTTATTTTGCATATCCACAACTGTTTGCCAGACCAGTTTCTTTCTTTGTTGCCTTCATAGAAGACCTGTTTTTTTAATTACCGGTAATTCTTTAGGCAACTGTTTGCACTTTATTTCATTTAAGGGTGGTGCAAAGGCTGAAAAAACATGCATAACATTTTTTTTAATAACACAATTCTGCAATACTTTGTAGAAAGCAAAATGTATATAGATCCAGCTGAGTGTGTTGAACTTGTCAGAGACATAATAAAAGAGGCTGTTTGTTAGTATAGATGTCAAATTGAGGGAATGAGAATTAAGGGAATTAAGGGAATGAGATAAAGCAGAAATTACACACAGAACTTGAACCCCAATGGAGAAAATTGTTTTTATGTAATAGTGTCTGTGTCTACACGCCTATTGGCACTAACATTGAGAGAAAGAGCTGCCAAAGTCAGTTTTGGTTCTGCCTGCTCTTCCCCCCACAGCTCAGCCTCCCAGTGTGTGCGTGCTGCAGACAAAGATATGGCTCTCAAAGGGGCCTGCACAGAGCAGCTCAAAGGCTCCCATTTCTGCTTGCTCCTCTCAGTTTCCCTCAATCACATTTTTGATGGGAAAAAAAATCTAGTGAACACATTTCAACATGGTGTGGCAGTGACAAAATGACTCATTACGCAATGCTTCACACTTCCCTCTCCCCCTCCGCAGGTTCTTCAAAATGGCTGGCACCTCCTTTTGCTGGTTTAGCCCATCACCCTGCCTTTGCAATGACCTTGAAACAGAAATGAAGGTTTAATGTTGCTTCCATTACCAGTGTCATATAATTTCTTTCCCCTTTTTAACAAACATCCACAGAGCAAAAAATGTATCCAATTTACAGTGACAGCTGGGGGAAGGGTGGAAATCACCCTCTACATAACTACAGTACAATCAATCACAATAGGATTAGGGTGCCTCTCTCTGGTTCTTTTTATTTCTCATTAACTTAAAGTTGTTAATGAAACACAGAGCTGATTCATGACAACAGGGCCTCTTTATAGCATCTACAGTCGTTATTCCAGCAAAGAACAGGTGTACAAGAAAAATAAAATGCAACTTCCCAATTGTTAACTGAGCATCTCCCTGCTTTGTAGAAAATACAATTCTTCATTGTGAGAATGATAAATGGTTATTGCCAGTGACAAAGAATGTTTCTGGCAGCAAGATGCTCAGATTAAATGATGTGACAATGTGTGACACAAAACTGTCTGTTGTGATCAACCACTTCCGAAGGCAAGAGACCCACTGCACCCCCATGTAAGGAAACTTTTGATTGTCCATGTGCTCCAAGGAATGCCATTTTCTCAAGTCTTGGGAGAATGACTAATGCAGAAGCCAATTGTACATCCTGTCCTGACTGAAACAATGAGGTCATCCTCAGCATGTCCTCAGGCTTTTCAGAAAAGGAAATTTTTAATTAATAGACGCCTCCTTTTAACAAAATTAAATCTGAAAAGCTTAGATTGTCTTATTTCCAGTGGTCGGTTGTGGCATAATTGTTGATGATAGTGAAATCGGGGCATTGCAGGGCAGAGAGGTCCGACCCTCTTCAGATTCTGTCCCGCTTTGACCACCTGAGCCTCTGCTCTCTGTGTTCACTTTACTGGCAGCTGACTCAGGCAATACAGAACCAATTTGTAAGCTGACACCAGTTCAAACTGCACTTACCCTGCTTTGTTACACCTGTTCTCCTTTCACCTGTAGATACCCGCCCCCCCACAAAAACGCATACCAGAATCAAATTACACTAAAGTTAAGAAAAATAATCTTTACTATTTGTTCAGCTTAAATAAAGTGACATATTACATATGAGGTAATTGGCATTCCATATGGCTAACAGGACTTGGGGTATAGGCAGCATTATCAAGACAGGCCCAATGCCATTTGCATACAAATTGTCCAGCTGGTACCTTGTTGTTATGACAACGGCACACAGCACAGAATTCACTGGGAAGTGAACTATAAAAGGGGAATGGGCACCAAAAATCACTGTTATTGATTTAATTTCTACTACTTTCAAAATGGTGTTTCTGACCCTTTGCATACAGGTGAAGCATTTCAACACACAAGTCATCACATAGATGGTAGTAAACTGCACTCTGAATTTAACAGTAAACAAGCGTATGAGGAAAATTCCCTGCATACAATATCTGAAATACAAATAGTGATTTATAGTCTTTGACCTTATCCTGTCATAGCACTATCCTGCCTAGCACACTACTCTCATAAATCAGTAGTCATTTACATAAAAAATATAGTGTACCATCCTTTTTGAGGGTTCCTTTATTTTTTTTTTTAAATGTGTTAGCTCTTGCCATTAGTAATGTCAAATATTGACGTGGGGAGAGAAAGCTAACTCTGCTGTTGATACAGTGTCCTCTACTGGCAGAGTGTGGTAGGGACTGTACTCAACTGCCCGCCTGGATAAACAGATAATCTTCAGCTCAAGGGCAAGTAAGATAAAGCTTTTCCTAAGTCATTGTGGCTCAGCTTACTGCTCAGGTGAAATGTCATGCACTGGACTCCATGAGCAGTCTGTCAACCCAGCATATTTTCTTCATTTCAACAACCCTATGGTTTAATAATTGGCCACTATGCAGCGTTAATTTTTTATTTCTTTTTTTTGGGGGGGGGGGGGGCCAAACGAGAAAGCAAACGTCTGGTTTCAGTTGGGCTGCACCCCTTCAGTTGGTCCTCACATGGGATTTTTTTCTCCATTACATACAAGACCCCAATGACTGTCCTGTTACAGATTGTCAGATGCAACTGGTAAGAACTACCTTAGCCTGGACTGAAACACCTGTATCAGCAGCAATGCAAGACGAAAGAATGTGTTTGTATGTGCATGTGTGTATAACAACCTCACCCTGAGGGTGGGAGCTAAAGGAAGGTGACACAATGTGCCTCTCCAGCATATAAATGGAGCCTTCTACCCTCTGGTGCAGCAGCGTGACAGTTTAGTAAGTTTCTCCTCCACAAACGTGTGACACTTCCCAAGGTTACAATCTGCCTGCAGCGAGGATCCTTACCAAAGCAGCATCACACTCATTTGTCACTTACCATCCAATTCAACATGGCAACTCGATGGGGGCTTTGCGGAGCGGGAAAGATAAGCCATGACTTCAGTGTGGCCATGAAGACTCTACCGGCTGAAGATCATCAGGTATTGGATACAAGCACATTTTCCTAAATGTTAATGTAAAATTCAAACTTTTACCTGTATTTAGAACAGGAACAGAATTATGTATTTTACCTGTTGTACAGATAGCAGCCATTGCATCAAGGAGCATTGAGAGTGCAAAAGAATTTGCCAAGAGGCACCATATTCCTAAAGTTTATGGAAATTATGAGGAGCTTGCCAGAGACCCAGACATTGGTGAGTTAAGTACTCATAGCAAGAGAGCTGCACAGATGAATGGTGGTCTCTTGGTTTTAATTGTGGAAAGTAAGTATAACATTTCTGTGTCCACACAGACATCGTCTACCTGGGAGTGCTGCACACAGAGCACTGGAAAGTTGGCCTGCTGTTCCTCAAGGCTGGGAAGAATGTCCTATGTGAGAAACCCTTTGCAATGAACTCTAGGCAGGTCAAAGACCTAGTAGAGGCATCAAAGACAAACAATGTGTTCCTGATGGAGGTAAGGTAGATCTTTGCCCATCGGTAGTTGAATGTGTAGTTTAAACTTTTGCATTGAAACCTTTCATTTCAGCAGTGCTGGAAAAAAAAGCGATATGACATTAATGTTCAACCATTATCTTACTAAAACAATGTGACATGGCTTAAGATTCACTATCATATTAAAGGTAATACCCACTCTTTGATACACCCTTTTTGTAATGACATGATATCATGTATCATGGCATTACATTTGTGTAAGTTTTGACCCAAGTATTAGTTCATTTGAGATTTATACATTGACTTTTCTGCTAAATATGTAACACTTGGAGCATATCCATGCTCTGTGCAGGAATCTCTTCTAAAATATTGTACCATAAGAGGGTTGGATTTATCCCTGATTGGGTCGCATGACCCAGAGTGATGCTTTACGGCAGTGTGAGTCCTCCTAATTGTAACTAGCTAAGCTAAAAGTTGTTGTCAGGCAACAAAACTGACAGAATCAGAAATGTATGTTGATTTAATTTTAAATCTGCTTTACCAAAGTGGTCTGTTTTCAGATTCCAAAATACAGAGGGAGACTGTTTTATTTTGCAACAGTGCAATGTGGGCTTCAGGGCCCCTTAACCTGAAAGTCTAGGATTCAGCGCACTTAAGTTACACACTGTTGCTTTAGGAACAGTCTCAGCAATGCAGGTCATGTTAAGTAAAGATTAATAGTGACGATTTGTGATTTTAGCAAAAGTTTGAAAAATTTGTAGCAATGCAAGATTGATTGTGTCCTCTTCCAGGCTATCTGGTCCCGCTGTTTTCCGGTGCATGCTGAAGTTCGCAAGCTGTTGGCTGAAGAGACAGTAGGAGAGGTGAAGCTGGTGAAGGCCTACTTTGGCTCCCCTCAGCTCCATATTCCCCGCTCAGTGGAGAAGGAGCTGGGAGGAGGAGCTCTGCTGGATATAGGAGTGTACTGCCTACAGTTTGTATTGATGGTGTTTAACGGCGAGCGGCCAGAGTCTATCCAAGCCACGGGTGTGCTGCTTGACTCGGGTAATTTTTTTGCATGCAGAACTTGCAGGGCATGGGGGCTGTACTTTAGTATTATTAACCGAAGAGCATGAATCAGTTAATCACAAAGCTTAAGTGTAGGATTGAAAAATCCCTGAGTGGCACATGGAAGTAAATTAAGCATAAACTTTAGAGTAAAACCCTCAGGGGATAATTGTTTTAACAGAAAATCCCAAAAATAATAATCGTTATTAAAATGTCAGACTAATCCAAATGCCCCTCAGAGAACACAGTAATACTACTTAAAGGAATAGCACACCCAAAACATAATTAGCCTTCATTTTCTACTCACCCCCATGCTGAACAACACTCTGGAGTACTTTTTTGATATCTCAAATGCATCTGGAGATCTGGGAGGCTTCTTGCTGTCTGCTGACATTCAAATAATGGAGGTCTATGGTGCCCGAGGCAGAAAGGTTCATAAAAGTCCACAAAAAACGTTTCAATATTCCTCCATACTGCTCGTCCAATGTATTCCAAGTTTCCTGAGTGGGTAGCATCCAGAATTTACTCGAAAAGAAGTCATTTAGAATGTTTTTAGAGCATAAACAGTAGTGTATAGGATTTCCTGAAACCACTCAGGACACTTGGAATACACTGGACGACCAGTATGGAGGAATATTGACACGTTTTTTGTGGACTTTTATGGACCTTTCTGTCTCGGGCACCATAGACCTCCATTATTTGAATGTCAGCAGACAGCAAGAAGCCTCCCAGATCTCCAGATGCATTTGAGATATCAAAAAAGTACTCCAGGGCGTTGTTCAGCATGGGGGTGAGTAGAAAATGAAGGCTAATCATGTTTTGGGTGTACTATTCCTTTAACTTCGGGGGATGACTTTACAGCTTTTTCAATAATAAAACAAAAAATATATAAAATAGCTAAAGCTTCAAACTACTTAAACTTAATTTTATTCTCATCTGTTTTAAATCGTTTTTTAGGAGTGGATGAGACTGTGGTTGTGGTGATGAAATTCTCCAGGAAGAGGATGGCACTCTGTGCATTTTCAATAGCTGCCCCCTTCCCAAATGATGCAGTTATTAGCGGCACCAAGGGATCTATCAAGGTATGCTTCACCAACACTGTGCTTTCTCTCGTCACATTTATGCACATGCAAGGGCCAATTAAAGGTAACGTTCTTGAAAAAGTAACCTTAAAGTATTAAGACAAAGAAGTGTTTCACAGTTTACAAGTTTAGAGTCTGGATTATTAAAAAAAAAGCTTCTTCTCTTTTCCTTTTAGGTGCTTGGGCCAATGCACTGCCCTACAACGCTGGTGGTGAATGACAATAAGAGAGAGTACCCACTGCCTGAACCTTGCCTTCCTCTGAACTTCACCAACAGCACTGGGCTTCGTTACGAGGCCGAGGAAGTGAGGCAGTGCTTGTTAAAAGGTAGGTCAGGATAAAAGGGAAGGTGTGCTTTTGTCTTCAAAAGATTACAAGGTTTTAATGGCTCAAACCACTGTTTCAAAGGCCTGTGCAACTCATTGAAATAGTTGCATTACTGGTGGCTCCTGGAAAAACTTTAGATGAAGAATTTTACACAATAGAGCCCATCTTTTTGGATCAGAATGTGGTATTTTCTGTCTTCAGATGCTCTCTGCTTTTTTATTAGAGGTCCCTTCTTCCAATGTGCATCATATTTTTAGCTTTGTTTTGCAAGACTTTATGATTACATTATGTACATATATTTAGCTTCATTTCTGTCGCACTATCTGATCTTTCTGCTTTGCTCATCTGCCTCTGCAGGACTTAAAGAGAGCCCACGGATGCCTCTGGCTGAGTCCATCTTACTGACAGAGTTAATGGATGAAATCAGGAAACAAGTGGGAGTCGTCTTCATCGACGACAGAAAGTGACACCAGTCCAAAGAAAAAAATATTACCTCCCCCTCCAGTAAACCTGCTCAGATGAGACAGAGGGAGTTGCTTGAGCTTTGGGTTGTTAGGATAAGCAGATCACACATAGACCAAAACACAATAATTGTTATTGAGATATACTATCAAATTCAGAATCAATGTATTATAAAAACACGTGAAATGATTCAACTATGAGTATTATTATGTTACATCTAAGTTGTTATATATCTTGTTCTGTAATGTACATATTTGGAAATGTGGGTGATTTGGAAAAAACAGAAAAAAACATGTATTTGATCAGAGAAACACCATCATAAACAAACAAATTAACTGTGTTGTGCTCCAGGTTTCTTGATCAGTTTGATTCTTAATCTTTAAAGACAAAGAGAGCTGTCATATGTGTGATAAAATAAAGATCAATAAGATCAAATAAAGAACTGATTGTAAAACTTTGCTTTCAAGTAGCATCATTTGTAGAGCAGAAAAGAATCAATCTGACACTTTCCACTGGAGAGGTTCTGTAATGTCTGACCCCTGCAGCATTACACAAAGAAAAGGTTTAAGTAGGAAAGGCTCCTTGCCATAATCTTTATCCTAAGCTCCCTCACAGATTTTCTGTTGGGTTTTAGTTTATACTCTGGCACTGGAAAACCAATTTCATGTGTTTTAGCAGTGTCTGCACTGGAAAAAATCTAAATCTAGATTAGCCATTTTTTCTTAAAATAGCTTCATTTGTTCTTGGATTGATGAGGTAAAAGAGACCAGACAATTTACACTTAAAGTAAGAAAACACATTTGCATTGTCTTATTTTAAGTGCATATTATCTAATTATCTTATTTAAGAGTAAAATACTCATTCCACTGGCAAAGTATCTGATTTACCTACTGAAATTAAGGATAAATACACTTAATTTAAGAATTGTTTACTTATTTCTAGATCATTTTTCCAGCGTGACAATACTCAGATCAGTTATCTCATTGTTTGCTGATATTACATATCCTGATTAAATGTTTTAATGTAGGCAGTGCTTGTAGTACAGTCATTTATTATCCACAAAGGCTACCTCAGGGTGTTGTTATTGTAGCTTTCTATTTAAAAGAAGCTTGAAAAGCAAGGGTACTATTGTTACTAAAATCTGATCCAACATTTAGCAAATCTTTAAAGAAACAATTAGTTTTAGATGTATGGAATTATGTTCAGGCCAATTTACAGCACTTGGTGGGTATCAATGCTGCAGAGGTTCTCTGATGTAACATTTAATCTAGAGGAGCAAATGTGGCTTTTGTTTTTTGACAAGAAACACAATGACTTCCACACACCTGACTTGAATAGAAAGGTGAGCAGGAGCTTTTGCAGCAAATGGTGTCTGGTAATGAAATAATTTCAGTCATGTTTGAGTAGAGATGCATCTAAAACATAAAGGACAGTGGACCATGAGGACCAGGTTTAAGAAACCATGAGAGTGGATCTTGTGAAATTTATAAAGCATTAGGTTCACTGAGAAAGTCCAAACATGTTAGGACTGTCTCCTCAAGAACACTCATGGGTTGTCCTTGTTCTTTAAGAACACCAGGGTGGGGTATAAAGAGCATTTTCAATGCTTGTAAATATGGAAAAATGTTAAGGAGCCAGTTAATCAACAGTAAAACCTCAAGGCCTACAGTTGTACAGGATGTACTCTAATCAGAACATAGATGACTAGAAATTTGAATTTTCTTGGACATTATCCGAGACAGATAAAGTCAATTCTTTTTCCAGACTGTTAGGGACATCTAAATAAAAACAGTCACATAATGTCACTTCCTATAAGCACTCATGGGGATTCCTATTTTTGCCTCAGATCTCTGTCATCGATAAGGAATGGGAGCAGAACTTCCTCCAGAAGAAACTTTGACCAGTTATTCATGGTCAAATTGTTGTATAGTAATTATTTCTATAATTTTGTGTAAACTTAAAATAAATCTGAATAAAACTTTGAAAAACCAAAGTGCATTTTATTGATATTAGAATATGAATATCAAGCAAAACTAAGGCCATAAAGTTTCTATCAATGTCATACTTCTATTAGTTTCAGAACAGCTGGTTAAGCCTGTGTTTTCACTGATACTAAGGACACATTTCATAAAGGACTCTTTATAAATCATATCTGTAATCTGTAAAGTGATCTCTGATAAAAGGCTAAATCTCTGTGGAAGAAAAAAAGACTGAGTGGTTGTGTCCATTAAATTTGCTGACACACAATCAAATTTCATGAAACAGTTTAGAAATGGGAAAATGTTTTAGTTCTTTGCTGAAACTGAAAAAATATATACTGAATCCTCTTTAAAAAAAACTGCTAACAACATGCTTATAACATGATTGTCATAAGACAATGAATGTTGGGAGTGCATGTCTTGTGATTAGAGCAGAGCGCGTTTGCGATCCCCACAGCCTGCACTCTGGCTCTCTGAGCAAGACCCTAAACCCTGCACTGCTCCCCAGGCGCAAGACAATGGCAGCCCTCTGCTCCCAAAGGGCATTGGATAAATGCTGACATATATTTCTCCAATGTGAGATCAATAAAGTTCAATTATTATTATGTACATTTATTTTTAACATACTTTCCATATCAAAATTCCAGACTTTTCTGGGTAATATATTATGATAATATCTATACCAATAAATTATATTCTTCAGATGTGTAAAGGGTCATTCATGTACTAGATGTATGTAGACATCTCAAAAATGTAAAACAGCAGTAGATAATTAAAACCAACTTATTTGAAAGACTTTATGGTTAAGGGCTGAAGTTAATTATGCAACTCTTAACACAAGAGCATTAAACTATCCCCAGGTTGGAGTATTACACAAAAAATTTATATGAAACCATGAACAGATGCAAAATATCTATTCTCACAAAGCATTCCGTTATTATATCTGCTTATCTGGTGATCATGGGTGATCACTACTTTTCAAGGTCCATTGTTGGAAAATTGCTTTTCCATCCACTGGACCAGAGGTCACGGATTAGCGGATCAGGGTCCGGATCCGGACCCCAACCTGATTTAGAACAAAGGCCTTTAAAAAGAAGAAGCAGAAATTTGTTTTTTTTTATACATATGTTAATTACAATAATTATAAAAAATTCCAGATTATTGTAAAAATTCTCAGATCCCTAAGTCATTTTAAATCAAAATTGAAAACCCGTTAGTTTAGAGCTCTGTTGCCTTTTTTCAATAATATGACCTGTTTTTACAGATCTTTACTGTCCGCTTTAAAACTTTAACAATCTTTTTCTAATGTTTCTTTTTGCATATAAATTGCATGGCCAATGAAAATTGCTGCTCAAATAAACTTGCCTTAATTGGCCTTAAAGGAATAGTACACCCAAAACATGATTAGCCTTCATTTTCTACTCACCCCCATGCTAAACAACACTCTGGAGTACTTTTTTGATATATCAAATGCATCTGGAGATCTGGGAGGCTTCTTGCTGTCTGCTGACATTCAAATAATGGAGGTCCATGGTGCCCGAGGCAGAAAGGTCCATAAAAGTCCACAAAAAACGTTTCAATATTCCTCCATACTGCTCGTCCAATGTATTCCAAGTGTCCTGAGTGGGTAGCGTCCAGAATTTACTCGAAACGAAGTCATTTAGAATGTTTTTAGAGCATAAACAGTGGTGTATAGGATTTCCTGAAAGCGCGCACCTGCGCGTTCATGACGCTACGGAAGCCGGCAGACCAAACCAGATGAAAGTGCGCATTCAGCGTCTGCTCTGCCAATAATGCAAGCGTAGAAGAAGAAATGTGCTGTTTACCTGTGCAAAGAAAGCACTTTCATCTGGTTTGGTCTGCCGCGGTTTCCGTAGCGCCGTGAACGCGCTTTCAGGAAATCCTATACACTACTGTTTATGCTCTAAAAACATTCTAAATGACTTCGTTTCGAGTAAATTCTGGACGCTACCCACTCAGGACACTTGGAATACATTGGACGAGCAGTATGGAGGAATATTGAAACGTTTTTTGTGGACTTTTATGGACCTTTCTGCCTCGGGCACCATGGACCTCCATTATTTGAATGTCAGCAGACAGCAAGAAGCCTCCCAGATCTCCAGATGCATTTGAGATATCAAAAAAGTACTCCAGTGTGTTGTTCAGCATGGGGGTGAGTAGAAAATGAAGGCTAATCATGTTTTGGGTGTACTATTCCTTTAAGGTTAGTTTCCAGATGAAAAGTTAAGCTCTCTCGCCATCTAGTGGTAGGAAGCAGCTACTACTGCAGCCTTGAAAGAGGCGCTGAGTTTTTCTGACAGACAGGGGGAGGACATTTGGTTCAACATGGCAACCAGGTGGGGGATCTGCAGCGCGGGGAAGATCAGCCATGACTTCACTGTTGCTCTGAAAACTCTTCCTTCTGAAGACCATCAGGTACACTGAGCTGCAGCGAATAGTCACACATAAGTTCATTGCTGGAAGGTTTTAGTGCGCTTTATGCACAGGAGTTGAATTTGCAGATTTGCAGGGCAGTCCGTGGTGGACATGTTTTAGGGCGACTACTGTGAGCTCAAACACTTTTACCGTAAATCATGTAAAATATGGAGCATCTCGATTTTTCTCCTTTTAATTTAGTTGCATTGCAGAAATCTTCATTGATGATTGGCTGGAATGCAGTTGATTTCAGGTTTGCAGCGGGGTATTTAGGAGGAAGTTAATGTGGGGAAAAAGCATGCTAAAGGTTTGTTGGCAGCATCATTAGGGGAAAATCTTCAGCAAGGATAAGTATGGTGCTTAGAGTTGATGGGAAGATCTTTGAGAGGCTGCAGAAAATTTTAATTGTTGGTCAAGATCAAAAGTGATTTTTTTTTTTCCAAACTTGAAAATCATTAAAGGAACAAACATTCTCCATCCAAATTGAGTGAGTTACATTACAAAAAGTGATGTTCTGGTAGAGACATCAGCCTCAAGATTTACAGTTGGAAAGTGAAGGAGTCTCTTGAATTACTTGAATCAAATGTTTCTTTTTTAGTTTTCTAAGATGTGTGTTCAATGTATTTTCCTTCCACATCATTATTATGCTTAATCCCATCTTAAGTCCTATAAAGTGAATACATTTTAATGCAGAAAGGAGTATAAGAAGATGTATTACAGCCCTTGAAATATTTTTTTCTAAAGTATAATTTTGTAAATGTAAACAGAGTTGTAGTTTAACACACATCTCTGCAGCTTCTCTACTGTTACCCACTCTTTACTCCATCCAGACAGTGTCTTGCCCACGACCAAAATCTAATAAATTAGCAAAGATTCCCAAAGGAGTAAATCATGATAATCTAATTAAAATCAAAATAACTCCAATTGGGGAAAAAGTTAAAACAATTAAATGCGGTCTGTTTAATACGGAGCCCCCTAGGGGACATGGGGAATTTTTTTTCTTTTGCGTTCCCTCGCAATACTTTTGCGTTCCCTCGCAATACTTTTGCGTTACCTCGCAATACTTTTGCGTTCCCTCGCAAAAACTTTTGCGTTCCCTCGCAAAACCTTTTGCGTTACCTCGCAATAGGGCTTGGTCGTCCTCTTATACAGCAGTAAACCATTTTTCCAGACTAGGAAGGACTCTCGCAGGCCTGTGGAGCGATATTTTCTCTCCAGTTTCCTAGCATTTTGCTTCAAAGTACGCAGCTCTGCATTAAACCAAGGAGCAAGCTTTCTATTTTTAACAGTTTTCATTTTCAAAGGAGCTGCGTTGTCTAAGGCAATACGCAGAGAACTAGCAACCCCCTCAACAAAATCATCAACCTGTGAAGGGGAATAAGCTAAGCTTTTGCACTCTGCAGCACTGCTCAGTGACACAGAGCAGAGAGAAAGTGAAGCAGATTCTTTAAAATTTATAACTGCACTATCTGATAAAGATCTACTAAAATTGAACCTTCTTTTGGGGGAGGAGAACTCTGTTAAAGTAATCCTGAAGGTTATTAGAAAGTGGTCAGAGAGGACAGGGTTGTGAGGAAATACTGTTATTTCTTCACATTCTATGCCGTATGTCAGCACAAGATCCAAAGTATGAAGATGAGAATGCGTGGGACCACTCACACTCTGAACAAAGCCAATAGTGTCTAAGATAGCATTAAAGGCTGCTCTTAAGCTATCGCCTTCAATGTCAGCATGGATGTTAAAATCTCCCACTATGATGACCCTGTCAGTATTTAATACCAAATCAGAAAGGAACTCTGAAAACTCATCTAAAAATTCAGAGTAAGGACCTGGTGGACGATACAAAGTTACAAAAAGAAGAGGTTTTCTTGCCTTGAAATTTGGATCAGGGAAATTAAGGGTTAAATGTTCAAAAGAGTTGTAGGAATTAATTGTTTTGGGAGTAATCAGTAAGTCAGACTCGAAGATTGTTGCTACTCCTCCTCCTCGCCCAGAACTTCTGGGGATGTGAAAATTTAAATAGCTTGAAGGAGTTGCCTCATTTATGCTCACATAATCCTCTTGCTGCAGCCAGGTTTCTGTAAGGCAAAACAAGTCAATGTGATTATCACAAATCAAGTCATTAACTAGTAGACTTTTAGAGGAAAGCGATCTTATGTTAAACTACGGAGCCCCCTAGGGGACATGGGGAATTTTTTTTCTTTTGCGTTCCCTCGCAATACTTTTGCGTTACCTCGCAATACTTTTGCGTTACCTCGCAATACTTTTGCGTTCCCTCGCAAAATCTTTTGCGTTACCTCGCAATAGGGCTTGGTCGTCGTGACCATGTTGACGGCGCACTTTACGGCTTCCTTAGACTATTGCCTGTGTTCTCCCTCTCAGCCGTGTTTTATTTCGTTTAATTTCACCGTAACTTGATTTCAACCATGGTAAACCGTTGCTGTATTGTGGGCTGTAACAGCGCATCACATGATCGCCGAGGGAAAAACCTACAAAATGGGATAACTTTCCACCGCTGTCCTGCCTGGAGGCGCAAACACGGAGACCAAGTTTCACAGATAACAAAGAGTCGTCGGCTAGCTTGGATCGCGGCTGTAAGACGAGAGAACAGAACTTTCCACAGTATCCTGATGTCAATGCGAGTGTGTTCCCTGCATTTTCATTCTGGTAAGTTAAAGATGCACGGTTTTATTTTATAGCCTACAGTGTTTCCTTCCTTCATCCGTGGCACCACATGCAAGCATGAACGCGCGCCCAGAGACTGTTGATATAGCATTTTCATCCTCGTTGGTTGATATAGCATTTTATCCTCTTTGGTAGAACACACTGCCAGTTCCTACAAGGACAGGGACATCCCTCTCCATTTTCAAAAAAAACCCTGAGGTTGACAGCTGTCATAGCACCACTTATAAATTTTGCTGATCCTAGCGCTTACCAGCCGTCTTGTAATGTAATGTAATCATATAATACAATTTAATAATGTGTATATTGAGGATCATTGATAACATTATGGTTCTATATGTGTTCAACACTGCTGCTGTGGATAATAATTTTAAATTGTGTCACCAGGAAAACCAGCAAATGAAATGTACACCTCGCATCCGGATTGGGCACCATCACTACACTTGGGCCACACTGAGATAAAGGCCACACAGACTGCACGCTATGAGAGACAGGAAAAGAGAAAACGGCAAAGGACTGACAGTACACCTGCGAGGATGAGACAGCTATTGATGACCTTGTTCCACCCGGTAAGCCTTACAGAGCCAGAAGATTCAACACCGTATGTTGCTTTTGTGGCTTTTTCAGCTGCATGATGCACATTTAGCTAAAAGATGTCCTTATTTTATCCATAGTGGAGACACCAGCACCAGCTGAGGATGGAGCTGAGCAGACACCGCCGGCGTGCTGAAATCAACCGGCTGCTGGAGGAGAACAAAATTTATAAGTGGTGCTATGACAGCTGTCAACCTCAGGGTTTTTTTTGAAAATGGAGAGGGATGTCCCTGTCCTTGTAGGAACTGGCAGTGTGTTCTACCAAAGAGGATAAAATGCTATATCAACCAACGAGGATGAAAATGCTATATCAACAGTCTCTGGGCGCGCGTTCATGCTTGCATGTGGTGCCACGGATGAAGGAAGGAAACACTGTAGGCTATAAAATAAAACCGTGCATCTTTAACTTACCAGAATGAAAATGCAGGGAACACACTCGCATTGACATCAGGATACTGTGGAAAGTTCTGTTCTCTCGTCTTACAGCCGCGATCCAAGCTAGCCGACGACTCTATGTTATCTGTGAAACTTGGTCTCCGTGTTTGCGCCTCCAGGCAGGACAGCGGTGGAAAGTTATCCCATTTTGTAGGTTTTTCCCTCGGCGATCATGTGATGCGCTGTTACAGCCCACAATACAGCAACGGTTTACCATGGTTGAAATCAAGTTACGGTGAAATTAAACGAAATAAAACACGGCTGAGAGGGAGAACACAGGCAATAGTCTAAGGAAGCCGTAAAGTGCGCCGTCAACATGGTCACGACGACCAAGCCCTATTGCGAGGTAACGCAAAAGGTTTTGCGAGGGAACGCAAAAGTATTGCGAGGTAACGCAAAAGTATTGCGAGGTAACGCAAAAGTATTGCGAGGGAACGCAAAAGAAAAAAAATTCCCCATGTCCCCTAGGGGGCTCCGTAGTTTAACATAAGATCGCTTTCCTCTAAAAGTCTACTAGTTAATGACTTGATTTGTGATAATCACATTGACTTGTTTTGCCTTACAGAAACCTGGCTGCAGCAAGAGGATTATGTGAGCATAAATGAGGCAACTCCTTCAAGCTATTTAAATTTTCACATCCCCAGAAGTTCTGGGCGAGGAGGAGGAGTAGCAACAATCTTCGAGTCTGACTTACTGATTACTCCCAAAACAATTAATTCCTACAACTCTTTTGAACATTTAACCCTTAATTTCCCTGATCCAAATTTCAAGGCAAGAAAACCTCTTCTTTTTGTAACTTTGTATCGTCCACCAGGTCCTTACTCTGAATTTTTAGATGAGTTTTCAGAGTTCCTTTCTGATTTGGTATTAAATACTGACAGGGTCATCATAGTGGGAGATTTTAACATCCATGCTGACATTGAAGGCGATAGCTTAAGAGCAGCCTTTAATGCTATCTTAGACACTATTGGCTTTGTTCAGAGTGTGAGTGGTCCCACGCATTCTCATCTTCATACTTTGGATCTTGTGCTGACATACGGCATAGAATGTGAAGAAATAACAGTATTTCCTCACAACCCTGTCCTCTCTGACCACTTTCTAATAACCTTCAGGATTACTTTAACAGAGTTCTCCTCCCCCAAAAGAAGGTTCAATTTTAGTAGATCTTTATCAGATAGTGCAGTTATAAATTTTAAAGAATCTGCTTCACTTTCTCTCTGCTCTGTGTCACTGAGCAGTGCTGCAGAGTGCAAAAGCTTAGCTTATTCCCCTTCACAGGTTGATGATTTTGTTGAGGGGGTTGCTAGTTCTCTGCGTATTGCCTTAGACAACGCAGCTCCTTTGAAAATGAAAACCGTTAAAAATAGAAAGCTTGCTCCTTGGTTTAATGCAGAGCTGCGTACTTTGAAGCAAAATGCTAGGAAACTGGAGAGAAAATATCGCTCCACAGGCCTGCGAGAGTCCTTCCTAGTCTGGAAAAATGGTTTACTGCTGTATAAGAGGACCCTTTGTAAAGCAAGAGCAGCATACTTCTCCTCATTAATAGAGGAGAATAAGAATAATCCTAGATTTCTTTTTAATACAGTTGCCAAACTCACCCAGAGCCATAGCTCTGTTGAACCGTCCATTCCACCTGCTCTTAGCAGCAATGATTTTATGGGATTCTTTATAAATAAGATTGATCTTATTAAAAATAAGATCATAAGCATTCCTCTATCCGCGATTGTACCTGAGGTAGTCATGGAATCTGAACCGGGTTTAGACTGCTTTGATCCAGTTGAACTCTCTGAATTAGCAAAATTATTGTCTTCATCTAAGCCTTCAACTTGTATGTTAGATCCAGTTCCAACCAGGTTATTTAAGGAGGTATTCCCTTTGATCTCCTCCTCCATTTTAGATGTGATTAATCTATCTCTGTTACAGGGATATGTACCTAAAGCTTTTAAGATTGCTGTAATTAAACCTCTGCTTAAGAAACCGTCTCTTGACCCAGATGACTTGGTCAATTATAGACCTATATCCAATCTTCCTTTCTTATCCAAAATTCTTGAGAAAGTAGTTGCCAAACAAGTTTGCGATCACTTCCACCATAATGAACTTTTTGAAGAGTTTCAGTCTGGCTTTAGAGCTCATCATAGCACTGAAACAGCTCTGGTGAAAGTCACTAATGATATTCTCATGGCCTCAGATAATGGACTTGTATCTGTGCTCGTCCTGTTGGATCTTAGTGCTGCATTTGATACAGTTGACCATAATATTCTTTTAGAAAGACTTGAATATTTTGTTGGAATTAAAGGAACAGCACTAGACTGGTTTAAATCTTATCTATCTGATCGAATTCAGTTTGTTCATGTTAATGATAGATCTTCAACACGCTCAAAGGTTACCTGTGGAGTACCACAGGGATCAGTGCTAGGACCAATTCTCTTTACTTTATACATGCTCCCAATTGGTAGAATTATTAGACAGCATGGGATTAATTTCCACTGTTACGCTGATGATACCCAGCTATATCTGTCTATAAATCCAGATGAAGCTCACCCATTACATAGATTACAGGCATGTCTTGAAGACATAAAAACCTGGATGACTCTTAATTTTCTGCTTCTGAATGCAGACAAAACAGAAGTTATAGTCTTTGGACCAGAGTCTCTGAAAAAGAAACTGATTAGCCAGTCACTTCATTTGGACGGGATTAAACTGATTTCAGATAATAAAGTAAAAAATCTTGGTGTTATTTTTGATCAGGACCTGTCATTTAAATCCCATATCAAAGAGGTTTCTAGAATTTCCTTCTTTCATCTGAGGAACATTGCAAAAATTAGAAATATCCTGTCCAGGGGTGATGCTGAGAAACTAGTCCATGCATTTGTTACTTCAAGGCTGGACTATTGTAATTCTTTACTATCAGGAAGTACACAAACTGTAGTTAAAAGCCTTCAGCTGATCCAAAATGCTGCAGCCAGAGTTCTAATGAAAATGAAAAAGAGAGATCATATCTCTCCTATCCTGGCTTCTCTTCATTGGCTTCCTGTTAAATCCAGAATAGAATTTAAAATCCTCCTTCTCACATATAAAGCCTTAAATGGCCAAGCTCCATCTTATATCAGAGATCTGATTGTTCCTTATGTTCCTAACAGAGCACTTCGCTCTCAATCTGCAGGTTTACTAGTGGTTCCTAGAATTTCTAAAAGTAGAATGGGAGGCAGATCTTTTAGTTATCAGGCTCCTCTCCTGTGGAACCAACTACCAGTTTTAGTCCGTGAGGCAGACACCCTGTCTACTTTTAAGGCTAGGCTTAAAACTTTCATTTTTGATAAAGCTTATAGTTAGGGTGGCTCAGGTTATCCTGAGCTATCTCTATAGTTATGCTGCTATAGGCTTAGACTTTTGGAGGACATAGGGACCCCCATTTCATCATTCTGCTTCATTCTCTCTCTGTTCTCCTATTCTGCAGAATCTGTTAGTTCAATCTCTAACCTTCTGCTCTCTCTGCTTTTCCTCAGAGTAGCTTTGCCTCGTCTGTTCCTGTTTGGCTGTGACGTCATCCTGGAAAAAAACATCAGCTGTGCTGCTTCTATCAACACCCTTGTTAATAGATGTTGGAGATCGGCCTGTTTTCCAGTGTGGTCCTGTTTCTCTGACCGTGACTGAGTGGATGTGCTCTCTTCGTCCTCTGGCATGGGAGCTGCCTTGGAGCTCGTCTGCCTGGCTGTGTGTTTCCTGGACGGGGCCGCCTTTTACAGCTGCTTTTTGTGTCTCTGCTTCTGTCTCCTTGAACCCCAGTCGGCCTCGACAGATGGCCGCTCACACTGAGCCTGGTTCTGCTGGAGGTTTCTTCCTGTTAAAAGGGAGTTTTTCCTCTCCACTGTCGCTACAAGCATGCTTAGTGTGGGGGATTGTATTTGAGTCAATGAGTCAATGCAATCAACTGGTTTTCCTTAGATAGAAAACTTTGTATCAATTTGACTGTATGATCTGGTTGAACTGTAAAGTGCCTTGAGATGACATGTGTTGTGAATTTGGCGCTATATAAATAAACTGAATTGAATTGAATTAAATTGGTTTTAATAATGAAATAAGTCCAGAGGTCTTCAGTACTGTGTTTTTATTTACAGGTTGTGGCTGTTGCAGCCCGTAAGTTAGAGGATGCTCAGGAATTTGCCAAGAAACACAGCATCCCGCAGGCTTATGGCAGCTATGAAGAGCTGGCCAGAGATCCCAACATAGGTAGGTTCTTCCTGGTCAATGTCTGCTCTATACCAAATAATGAGTTATAATGTATGCAAATAGTGTGTGTGTGTGTGTTTTTTTACCCATATTTTCACATCCTCATCATGTATATGGAGGTTTTATTCTTTTAAACAGACTGATGGGTTTTGTCTGAATTGAATCCTCCTGTTTGCAGATGTGGTGTATGTTGGAGTTATCCATCCCTACCATCTGAAGACCTGTCTGCTCTTCACTAATGCGAAAAAGAATATTCTGTGTGAGAAGCCACTGGCCATGAACACCAAGGAAGTGAAAGAGATCCTGGCTTCAGCCAAAAAGAATAACGTTTTCCTAATGGAGGTAAATATGTTGCTCTAAAGGAAGAGTGAAAATAATTTGGCTTTGTAGATTTTACGAGAAAATCGTCAAAAGGTAAATAGTTCAAAAAGCCTTCTGTCTGCAGGCTGTGTGGACCCGCTTCTTCCCAGCGTCTGTGGAGATCAGAAAGCTTCTGGCTCAAGGGGAGATGGGGGAGGTTAAGATGGTCCGTGCAGATTTTGGCGTGCCGCTGTTGCATGTTCCCAGAGCTGTGCAGAAGGACCTGGGTGGAGGAGCGTTACTAGATCTCGGTATCTACTGCCTGCAGTTCATAACTATGGTGTTCAATGGAGAGAAACCAGAGGCTGTCCAAGCCAGCGGAGTCTGCCTAGAGACGGGTAACAAGTTTACAGGATGGATTTATCTTATAACTTTTGAAGGAGAAAATACACCAGATGCGCTGCAGTGCGTGAGCGCAGCAAAGCAGTATGCGCTACTCATAGGTTATGTGTGTGACATTTAGTTTTGAAAGGTTATTTACAGGTGTCGCATAATACGCTTCGCTTGATTTAGATAGAGGTTCTAATTTCCGAGCTTATACACTCCTGTTAGGCAAGGAAAAATCTGGAAAATAAGCATCCTTGTTCTGTCACGTATTTCTTTGAGATCTGTTCACCGTATAACTTCCCCGTATATCACTGATAGCATTGCTTACCCATTCAGCATACGTTCCCCCCTGCCCAGAAACCCGTTTCTGCTGATCCTACTTTGCAAAATCTAGTGTAAAATTTGTTTTCATAAACACGGATGTAAGCTGTGCCGCTTGCACCACGTGCTGTGCACGCGTCTGGTGTATTTCCCCCTTTATGAGGGGCCGTACAAGGCATAAATAACACTGCCACTCTCACATACATATATTTGAACTCTTGGATACTCACAGTGGTTAAAATTATTATTGAACATGGCACCAATTTTCCTAGTATATATATTTTAAGAGGTGCTTTTGACACTTTTTGACGCTTTTACCAATTGCCGATAACAAACCATGCAATCCAAAGAAATCAAACCATCCAGAAATTATGTTGTGTAATAATTTGGAATTACACAGGGAAAAGTATTGAATAGGTGAAGAAAGGAAGGTACAAAAAGGCATGGAAAGCCAAGACAGCAGCCGTAATGTCCCGGTAATTAGAAAGCAATCCTGCCCCTTGTCAGTGCAAATTAATACCACCTGGTTCAGTCCCAAATGAGGGCCTATAAAATGGTGTCTCTGGTTTCCCATCTCAGGATGGGAAAATGAAATGAAATTAGTTTTCTCAAGACCTTCGACTCCTTATTGTTGCAGATAATAATTGCATTTTTTACAGAAGGATTTCTTAAAGGAATAGTACACCCAAAACATGATTAGCCTTCATTTTCTACTCACCCCCATGCTGAACAACACTCTGGAGTACTTTTTTGATATCTCAAATGCCTCTGGAGATCTGGGAGGCTTCTTGCTGTCTGCTGACATTCAAATAATGCAGGTCTATGGTGACCGAGACAGAAAGGTCCATAAAAGTCCACAAAAAACGTGTCAATATTCCTCCATACTGCTCGTCCAATGTATTCCAAGTGTCCTGAGTGGGTAGCATCCAGAATTTACTCGAAACAAAGTCATTTAGAATGTTTTTAGAGCATAAACAGTAGTGTATAGTATTTCCTAAAAGCGCATTCACGAGTCTACGGAAACCGCGGCAGACCAAACCAGACAAAAGTGCGCATTCAGCGTCTGCTCTGCTGATAATGCAAGCGTAGAAGAAGAAATGTGCTGTTTACCTGTGCAAAGAAAGAAAAAACGAAAGAAAAATGTCTGAGGACTTCAGTGTTGAGGAAGAGCATGAGTTCTTTGCCGAGCTGAATGCGCTGGTTTGGTCTGCCGGCTTCCGTAGCGTCGTGAACGCACATGTGCGCGCTTTCAGGAAATCCTATACACTACTGTTTATGCTCTAAAAACATTCTAAATGACTTCGTTTCGAGTAAATTCTGGATGCTACCCACTCAGGACACTTAGAATACATTGGACGAGCAGTATGGAGGAATATTGACACGTTTTTTGTGGACTTTTATGGACCTTTCTGCCTCGGGCACCATAGACCTCCATTATTTGAATGTCAGCAGACAGCAAGAAGCCTCCCAGATCTCCAGATGCATTTGAGATATCAAAAAAGTACTCCAGAGTGTTGTTCAGCATGGGGGTGAGTAGAAAATGAAGGCTAATTAAGTTTTGGGTGTACTATTCCTTTAACTTCTGAATGTTCCAGTGAGCACTGCTGGGATCATAATCTGGAAATGGAAAGAACATCATGCCACCATAAACTGACTACGACCAGGTGCTCCTCGCCAGATTTCTGAAAGAGCAGTGAAAAGAATTATCAGAAGATTTGTCCAAGAACCAAAGACCACTTGTTGAGAGCTTCAGAAAGACCTGGAATTAGCCAGCACAATATTTTCATAGAAAACAATAAGTAATGCACTCAACCGCCATGGCCTGTATGCACACTCACCACACAAGACTACATTGCTGAAGAAAAGGCATGGTGAAGCTTGTTTAAAGTTTGCTGCACAACTTTTAGACAAGCCTGTGAAATACTTGGAGAAAATAGCTGGTCAGATGAGACCAAAATGGAACTCGTTAGATGCCATAATACCCATCATGTTTGGAGGTCAAATGGAACTGCACATCACCCCAAGAAACACCATACCAACAGGAAGTTTGGAGGTGGGAACATCATGGTGTGGGGCTGTTTTTCAGCATATGGTACTGGCAAACTTCTAATAAATGAAGGATGAATGAGAAAAAAATACAGAGACATTCTTGATAAAAATCTGCTACCATCGATTAGGATGATGAAGATGAAATGTGGGGGGACGTTTCAGCTAGACAATGACCCCAAACACACAACCAAGGAAATTTAATTTGTTTCAAAGAAAGAAAATAAAGCTGATAGAATGGCCCAGCCAATCACCTGACCTGAATCCATTAGAAAATCTATGGAAGGAAATAACAATCAGAGTTCATAGAAGATGACAATGGAACTTTTAAGATTTTAAGACCATGTGGAAGAATGGGCCAAACTCACACCTGAACAATGCATGCAGTTAATTTCTCCATACAGGAGGTGGATGAAAGCAGTTATTACCAACAAAGCCATTTGTACAAAGAATTTACAAAATTTCAATAAGTGTGTTCAGTACTTCTTCCCTGTGCCATTTCACATTATAACACATAACTTCATTTCTGGACATCTATGGTTTGATTTATTTGTATCAGTAAATTGCATGGATCGTTACATCTGGTGTAAGTGTCATATGTATAGTACTTCCAGAAATATATTTACTGAGAAAAATGGTGCTATGTTCAGTAATTATTTCACCCGTTGTACATTTAATCTCTCACATGGGCATTCTCCTTTACATATATTCTTCCACAAATAAATATACATTCTATTCTTATAACCCACATATAGTTCTTGCATATAGAGATTCTCAAGACTTGGCATTCATGCAACCCTAACTTCAGTTCTCCTTGAAGCGTCATGTGAACAAAAGCATCTGCAGAATTCTGTTGCATTTGTTCCAAACATCCCATTATACTTTGAAAAAACATTCATTTTCCATGCTCCTCAACCAAACATTACAAAAGGACAAAAAATGAGAAATCGGGATAAATTTGAATAGTTTCATAATGCACTTTTTTCAAATAAATATTGTTAAAATATGCCATGGAATTGGCAGTTTGTTTCCTGATTTAAGAATTACTTCCTGTTTGAGTAAGAAATTCCTGTGTCACCCATTACGTGGATTGTTTTAATAGAAATACTGTATATGTGTCTCAGAGAACAATGTATGCATGCTTTCAGATCTACTATGTAGATAATGTGATAAGAGCATTATGCTCTATGATGCATTTCGTTACCATTTTTCTGGAAAAGCAGAAATCTATATCTATCTATCTATCTATCTATCTATCTATCTATCTATCTATCTATCTATCTATCTATCTATCTATCTATCTATCTATCTATCTATCTATCTATCTATCTATCTATCTATCTATCTATCTATCTATCTATCTATCTATCTATCTATCTATCTATCTATCTATCTATCTATCTATCTATCTATCTATCGCCTTTCACTATATACAGTAAAGTTTAAAAAGTTTTGTTTTTTAAAGCTGAATTAAACCAACTGTCACTAGATATCTAATATGTCATTTTGTTCCCCTGTAGAAGTGGATGAGACCGTAGCTGTCGTTTTGAAGTTTTCTCGTAACAGAATGGCTATGTTTTCTTGCTCTGCTGGTGTGGAGCTGCCCAATGATGCTATTATTGCTGGAACAAAGGGCACAATCCAGGTAGGTCATCGGAATGGGATGTCATCAGTTTAAAACTTTGCATAAGTCACATGTTTTATTTAGAAGACTTCACAAATGAATTCAGACCTTGTTTTGAAATGAGTTTGTTGCGCATGCTTCAGATCCCCTGTCCTATGTGGTGCCCGACATCCCTGATTGTTAAAGGGAAGGAGAGCCAGTACCCTCTGCCTGAGCCCTACTTGCCTCTCAACTTTATCAACAGCACAGGGATGCGTTATGAAGCAGAGGAAGTCCGCCAGTGTCTGCTCAAAGGTGATGAGACGTCAGCATTTTCAAGTCTCTAGGTTCAACATCATTAACTTCAGAACCTCCAGAATTCCCGCTTGCCCCAGTTAGACCCTCTATAAGAAGAAGTCTAACAACAACAAGCATTTACAACGGCTGCTTTGCTTTATAAAAATCACCATTTTTAATTTATAAAATATTTTTTATTAGCTACTAATAAATCAGTACCTAATTGTACAGATTTTTCTAATTTCTGTAAAATTTGTAAAATGATTTAGACTGTAGACTGATTTAGACTGACATTATAATAACATTGTGATTAAACAATTAAACTGATACTGATTTGTTGTAGATAGTGAGAAGTCTATGCAGCTACTGGAAAAGGAAAAAAAAGTAATTTCAGTTCAAATTTCATGATTTTATTGAGAAAAAAACTGCTTTTGGACAAAGTCTGCTGTTTGGAAACAGAAACAATGTGGTTGTAGTTTTTGAATGACTTTTTCACCTTAAAGCTTTATCTTCTAAGACAGTTTTATGCTGTTTTAAACTAAAACAATGTCTCTGCAAATATGGAGGCATGAATAGCCTGAACGCATTTGCATATCTAACAATTTTAAAACGAAGGCTATTGTTGATATTCATATTTTGTGCAATCATACTGCAATAATGATCAGTTTATATTATACCAGGCTGCACTCCATATAATTTGCAAGTATTAATGGGTAATGGTGTTGTATTATGAAGGCACACACTGATCAGGTATATCCAAAATAGTTTTTCTGATGGAGAACTAAGCCTGGGCAGGTCACATTATAAAGGCTCACTGATTTAAGACAGCAGTGAACAAGAGAAGCTCTTTTTTTGGTGAGAATTACTATAAAGGTTATATTGATTAGGACTTTTTAAACTGAGATTTGTTAGATTCCTAGATTTTCCCAAAAAATCTTCATTAACAGAAACTTTAAATGATTAAATCAATGAGATCCCCAAACCTCTGCATAAATTTCTCATGCAGATCTATTGCATGAAGTAAGTTTAAAATTTAGATTACAGGTTGGAATGAAATAAAAAAGAAAAAAAGTCAAGTCACTATAACTAGTGAACAATTAACCCCTTGTAAAGTGGGGCTTAAAAGTCGGCTGTTTTATTGAAGTGAACCGTGGTTGTTCAAGGTGACTCATCAGCATGTCTCTACTTGCAGGCCTGAAGGAGAGTTCAGTCATGTCTCACGCTGACTCTCTGCTGCTGGCTGAACTGGAGGATGAGATTCGCCGGCAGGTCGGGGTGGTATACAGCCAGGACTGCCATTAAATGTTTAACTTGGTCAGGCTGTGATTAAAGAGATCCAGTTTACAATGAAGATTAGCTTATTCTTGTTGATTCACTAATGGTGAGACGAGGCCTTGTGAGGCATTGAACACCTTGAGCATTTTGCTTCAGCAAATAGTTCATTTCCTGGAGCTTCATTTGCACGTAAAACCACCTACTGGCCGAGTCCATAATCAGTCAGCAATATAATATGATGCGTAGATATATTTGTTTCCCTTTAGAAACCTTGGAATGTAATTTCATTAATGATTAATGACTATTAATTGATCTTTTATCGCATTTGTAATAAAATTTTTAACATTTTTGGAGCATATTCTTTGTGTTCATGTTCTGATAAAAGTTCCATCTGATATGGCCGGCTGTGTTTGACCTCGGGGCGCGTCAAGCATAAACCAAGCTTAAGTGAATAAAAGGACAGGAGCTTAAATAGTGAAGTGAAAGTGCTGGTTGAACTTTGTAAGAGGTCACTGGATATGCTTACGCAGCTTGGACAATGACATGAGAAACAGGATATTTTATTCATTTTTATTTAGAAAAGAGTTTTCAACACCTCTTGCTTTTAATTGGTTCTTTTTTTTCTTCTTCTTTTAACTACACTCACCGGCCACTTTATTAGGTACACTTGTCCAACTGCTCGTTAACACTTAATTTCTAAGCAGCCAATCACATGGCGCAACTCAGTGCATTTAGGCATGTAGACATGGTCAAGACAATCTCCTGCAGTTCAAACCGAGCATCAGTATGGGGAAGAAAGGTGATTTGAGTGACTTTGAACGTGGCATGTTTGCCTGTACCAGAAGGGCTGGTCTGAGTATTTCAGAAACTGCTGATCTACTGGGATTTTCACGCACAACCATCTCTAGGGTTTACAGAGAATGGTCCGAAAAAGAAAAAAACATCCAGTGAGCGGCAGTTCTGTGGGCGGAAATGCCTTGTTGATGCCAGAGGTCAGAGGAGAATGGCCAGACTGGTTCGAGCTGATAGAAGGGCAACAGTGACTCAAATAACCACCCGTTACAACCAAGGTGGGCAGAAGAGCATCTCTGAACGCACAGTACGTCGAACTTTGAGGCAGATGGGCTACAGCAACAGAAGACCACATCGGGTGCCACTCCTTTCAGCTAAGAACAGGAAACTGAGGCTACAATTTGCACAAGCTCATCGAAATTGGACAATAGAAGATTGGAAAAATGTTGCCTGGTCTGATGAGTCTTGATTTCTGCTGCGACATTCGGATGGTAGGGTCAGAATTTGGCGTCTGCAACATGAAAGCATGGATCCATCCTGCCTTGTATCAACGGTTCAGGCTAGTGGTGGTGGTGTCATGGTGTGGGGAATATTTTCTTGGCACTCTTTGGGCCCCTTGGTACCAATTGAGCATCGTTGCAACGCCACAGCCTACCTGAGTATTGTTGCTGACCATGTCCATCCCTTTATGACCACAATGTACCCAACTTGATGGCTACTTTCAGCAGGATAATGCACCATGTCATAAAGCTGGAATCATCTCAGACTGGTTTCTTGAACATGACAATGAGTTCACTGTACTCAAATGGCCTCCACAGTCACCAGATCTCAATCCAATAGAGCATCTTTGGGATGTGGTGGAACGGGAGATTCGCATCATGGATGTGCAGCCGACAAATCTGCGGCAACTGTGTGATGCCATCATGTCAATATGGACCAAACTCCCTGAGGAATGCTTCCAGCACCTTGTTGAATCTATGCCACGAAGAATTGAGGCAGTTCTGAAGGCAAAAGGGGGTCCAACTCGTTACTAGCATGGGGTACCTAATAAAGTGGCCGGTGAGTGTATGTAAGCCTTTAAAAACCCTGATTCACAAGGCCCTAAAGATGGCGCCGATAAGTCCTAAGCATGGATGAGATGATGTAACTGTGACCTAACTCCTTGGAACATAATGAACACAACACCTAAAATAAACTTAAAAAAATACAGTTCTTAAACTAAATCAAATTAATATTAAAGCTACAGTGTGTAATAATTACAGGGATATACAGTCAGAAATGTAATTATACATAACTATGTTATTTATCATCATCTACGAGCTCAGCCTCTTAACCTTAATATTTGCGTTGCCTTAGAATTCGTTATTTATAATTACATAGGAGCGGGTCTTGCAGCCATGGAGGCTGACATCTTTGCGCTACGGCAGCGCAGAGCCAACAAACTAGCGATTGCGAGATCTCCCATTACGCTCGAAAGTAACTACGGCAAGTTGCGAGAGATGAACTGAGACGGTACTGAACAATAGATGGCAGTATTAAAATTATCTATGTAAACAAACCTCATCACTTGAGAAGGTAGGTGATGCGGACGTCGTGGAAGACATTTTGTCCCGTAACGCTCGCCGTACTGTTGGGGGGGAGAAGCGGTGGGGGGGAGATGTTCATGTTGCTGCGGTCTGCAGTCTGGACGTTAGATGTCGCTGAAAATTACACACTGTAGCTTTAAATAAGTTAGATTAATTTTATTTGGAGAAATCAAAGATATTCCCATTAAAAAAAAGAAATCCTAATTTTTCTTAATCTCCAAACTATTCCTCCTCCTTCCTAAACCTGAGCTGAAGGAGACTCTTTGACAAACATCCACATTTTCACTGAATACTGAAGCGGTTTAAATGCCGGTCAAACTAGTGAGCAATCTAAAACATTTATTATTCATATCTCCAAAGTGTGGTTTCATATTCTGACTCAAAAATGATCATATTTTTTGCAGTGGTGGAAAGTAACAAAGTACAGTTACTGTACTAAGTATGTTTTTTTGAGTATCTTTACTCAAGTACTTTTTTTTGGTACTTTTTACTCCACTACATTTCTAGGAAGCTGCTAGTTACTTGTTACTTTTGGCTCAGTTTAGCTTTGTAATCCACTCTGGCTGTTTTTATTTCTTGAAATGCTATTTCAACATGTTAGACAGCAGCCATTATGAATGAATTTGGTTTGGACGCCACTGTTTTAGAGATTGACATGACATTCCACAAATGTGAGAAATTTTGCTCAGATATTATTTGTAGTTAAAAAATAAATTTTATCAAGCCTTGAGTTGTTACCATGTGGCCGAGTTGTTCAGTAGGATGAGTTCTCAAATCAGTTGTTGGAGTTTCTTTGTGGTACTAGATAAAACCACAACCCTCTATTCCACAGTGAAAGTGTGAGAAGAGTCCAAACTTTCCTGCTTTCTTTTTGGTTTGTTTTTAAATAGTAAATGATTAAAATAGCTTTCCTGATTTTTGTGGCATTTTTATGCTGAAGTTGTTTACAGGTGGTTTATAATATGTAGCAGAATAGTTGAATGAAAAGTGAGGACTTCTATACTTTAACTTGAGTAGATGTTTGACCGGGTAACTTTTACTTGTAGTTGAGTAAGATTTGACTGAGTCAATACTTCAATACTATTCTACTTTACTATCAATACTTTGAAGTATTTCCCCTGCATTTTTGTAGGAAACAGCTCTTTAACTCCAGCTTCTTTTTAGCCTGTCTCTTTTCTTTAATTATACTTCTGTATTCCTTCCTTTATCCACTTGTTAAGAAGATATTCTTTTGTTTTGTACTTTTTATTTAATAAACCTAAAGTTACATACTAGGTTTGCATATAAATATATTCAAACTTGATCAGCACTTTCAACAGTGCAATAAAATTTAAAATCTTCGGCCATATGTTATATTGTCTCAAAATTGCTGTGTTTTTTTTTCTCCTTTCCTGTGTATGAATTTAGTTTACAAATTAAGATCATAAAAAAATCTGGTAGGAGTCCATCTCCTTTTATGTAAATTACTGTGAAAATAACATCTTCCTTTTAAAAAACTGCATTTTGCTATTTTCTAGCTCAACATGTTTCATATTAGTAAATATTTGGGGAATAAAGATTCCTTGGTGAATTTTGCCTAGTTTTAAAAAAATACTAACTAAAGGTAAAAGGTTCAAACCCACTGGTCCAATGTGAAACTATAATGGCCTTGAAACCAGATTACTTGTGCCACAGGAAATGACGGCCATCAAGTTTATGCAATTACTGAAAATGAGGCTTTACATGGCTGTTTGCAGAATTGTTCCTAAAAGTAACAGTGAATGATTTAAAAAAAAAAAAAAAAAAAAAGAATTATTAAACGGCCGGTTTAAGGTTAACGTACCGGGTGTAAACTGATTTAACTCTGGACTTTGACCATACAGAATCAGCTTTATTTAACATGTTTGAAATTGACTTTGGTTCTTTATTTTTTGTCGGTGTGTATATACACTATATTGCCAAAAGTATTTGCTCACCTGCCTTGACTCACATATGAGCTTAAGTGACATCCCGTTCCTAATCCATAGGGTTCAATATGACGTCGGTCCACCCTTTGCAGCTAGAACAGCTTCAACTCTTCTGGGAAGGCTGTCCACAAGGTTTAGGAGTGTGTTTATGGGAATTTTTGACCATTCTTCCAGAAGCGCATTTGTGAGGTCGCACACTGATGTTGGACGAGAAGGCCTGGCTCTCAGTCTCCGCTCTAATTCATCCCAAAGGTGTTCTATCGGGTTGAGGTCAGGACTCTGTGCAGGCCAGTCAAGTTCATCCACACCAGACTCTGTCATCCATGTCTTTATGGACCTTGCTTTGTGCACTGGTGCACAGTCATGTTGGAAGAGGAAGGGGCCAGCTCCAAACTGTTCCCACAAAGTTGGGAGCATGGAATTGTCCAAAATGTCTTGGTATGCTGAAGCATTCAGAGTTCCTTTCACTGGAACTAAGGGGCCAAGCCCAGCTCCTGAAAAACAACCCCACACCATAATCCCCCCTCCACCAAACTTTACACTTGGCACAATGCAGTCAGACAAGTACCGTTCTCCTGGCAACCGCCAAACCCAGACCCGTCCATCAGATTGCCAGATGGAGAAGCGCGATTCGTCACTCCAGAGAACGCGTCTCCACTGCTCTAGAGTCCAGTGGCGGCGTGCTTTACACCACCGCATCCGACGCTTTGCATTGCACTTGGTGATGTATGGCTTGGATGCAGCTGCTCGACCATGGAAACCCATTCCATGAAGCTCTCTGCGCACTGTTCTTGAGCTAATCTGAAGGCCACATGAAGTTTGGAGGTCTGTAGTGATTGACTCTGCAGAAAGTTGGCGACCTCTTCGCACTATGCGCGTCAGCATCCGCTGACCCCGCTCCGTCAGTTTACGTGGCCTACCACTTCGTGGCTGAGTTGCTGTCGTTCCCAAACACTTCCATTTTCTTATAATACAGCTGACAGTTGACTGTGGAATATTTAGGAGCGAGGAAATTTCACGACTGGATTTGTTGCACAGGTGGCATCCTATCACAGTTCCACGCTGGAATTCACTGAGCTCCTGAGAGCGACCCATTCTTTCACAAATGTTTGTAAAAACAGTCTGCATGCCTAGGTGCTTGAATTTATACACCTGTGGCCATGGAAGTGATTGGAACACCTGATTCCAATAATTTGGATGGGTGAGCAAATACTTTTGGCAATATAGTGTATATTTTATGGGTAGTCAAAAAAACTGTTAAACTGATAAGATTTCTTGAAGAGGTGAAGACTTTGAACTCGCATTTTAATGATTACACACATCTATCTCTGTCTTTTAAATGGGGGTCACCTATCCCATCACAGGGAAGAACAGAGTAAGCAGCCATCTCTATTTAGATTAATTATTTTCTATTTTTTTAGCCATTTATTGGTGGACTTGCAGGTTTGCTTTTAGGTTAAAGTCTTAGAAAAAGAGTTAGAGTTCATTTCTGGTCAACGTGTAGAATAGATGGTTCCATTGCAGTCAGGCAGGGCAGCTACATCTGGAGAGGTTCAACACCAGAGGTTCCTTCAGCAGGGTATGTACTGTTTAATGAATCTCACTGGGATTTACTGGAAACCCAAACCCAAAGCCTGTAATCATTTCTAAGAGTTCGATGTCATTGACTTTATATTTAATCTGTTTTTGAGTTTCATTAAATCAGGGCATGATGTTACTTTATGAGACATGTTGGCCTACTTTCTGAAATTGATTTGTGTGACTTGTTATTTAAATTTGCTTAGATTTCTGAAAAATATGGTATTTTAACAGGCAGGACAATTTCCATTAAGGTTTTAAGTTTGGAAAACGTTTCATGTTTTTAAGAAAATTGATTTACAAATAGTTTTGAGTTAACCCATGTTAATTTATTTTTTTAATTACATGAAGATACAGCATAGCGTTCACTCATGTCAGTCAACTTTAATGAACTAAATTACTTGAATGTTCCACCTCAGAAATTATCCAAATAAATGGAAATTTAAAAAGTATTCAACTTCAGTAACAACTATCTTTTCATTTAAATAAATAAATAAATAAAGAATATGCAAAGGCAATTAAGTGAAGAATCATACTAAAAATGCAGGTATTTAAAGCACAAATTTAATATTGAAAAAAAAGAATTTGTATTTGTATTGAAAATATTTCATTATCTTTATATGGAACAGTCTTTATAGGTATTTTTTTATTTGTTTATTTCAAAGTTAAATTTGCTTTCACCTCATATTTTAAGAGAAATCTTCATCTACTTCATTACAAATTTAAACCAAGCGGCATTTTTAATGTCTCGTGAATAGCTTTGTGTAACAATCTGTAGAAACTTCAGATTACAAAATCAATTCTTAAATCGGTGTTTTGTCGCCCCCTTCCGGCAGGAAGCGGTGAATGATTCTAACAATCACCGTTGAGCAACATGGCAACCAGGTGGGGAATCTGCAGCGCAGGGAAGATCAGTCATGACTTTACTGTGGCTCTGAACACGCTTCAAGCTGAAGAGCATCAGGTTGGTATTTCTGCTGCAATGGTGACATGAATCCAACATTACTCACCAGCTTCTGTTATACTGGAAGCTCTGGCTTTAGTTTCCCAACTGTAAACTGCCTTTACTTGTACCGTAGACCACAGAAGAAGAAGTATGTTATTGCGTTTGGAAACTCAGGACGAATGAATGGAAACAAAAGAATGAATCAAAGAATCTAATTTATATATCTTACAAAAACCAATAAGGCTGTAAAGTTAAGTTAGCTTTCTGTTTTTGAGTGATGACCTCTGCTGGATGAAGAATGAAAGTGCACAAAAAAAAAATCCATGGCAGAATTTTTGATGCATTCTGTTTAAAACTAATATTTTGTATTATGCAATAAAAGGTTATGGGAATTATCTGTTTGTATTTACAGGTTGTGGCTGTTGCAGCCCGTAAGTTAGAGGATGCTCAGGAATTTGCCAAGAAACACAGCATCCCACAGGCATATGGCAGCTATGAAGAGCTGGCCAGAGATCCAAACATTGGTCCGTATCTGTGTGACAGATGTTGTAAAGTATGCTTCTCCTGTATACAGAGGCGTAGCCAAAAAAAAAAAAATTTAATAAGGGTGGCCAGACAATAACCAATGTACACTGAGGGGTGGCCAAAAGCGGATAGGCAGCATGACCTCAGGGTCAATCTACACTGTTCCAACAGGAAAATTAACAAGCAAATCATCCATATTTTCTAAATAAAGACTGACCATACTTTCCTACAGCCTTTGCTAACAAATAGACGCATATATTTAAACATCTGTAACTTCTCGATAAAAGGTATAATGGATCAAACTCAGTTTTGAGTTCTGAGGTGTAAATCAATCATCATGGTCATTACTTACCTACTTGTATCAATAAACATTCTGCATAAAATTAATATTTACAAGCACTAATATCTACATAAATTGATTATTTGCTAAGTTTTTTATTAGAATTGTTATTTATCTTTTATTTCACTGAAGACTCCTAGATGACTTGCAGAGACACACCATTTTCTCTTTACCCCATAAAACACAAAATCTAGTTCTGAAAAGAGCAGGAATTATGTGCTTATCATCTTTGATGTTAGTATATTCATGTGTTTAACCACAAAAAAATAAAATGTTTTGAATATTCCACTTATTACTGTTGCCACCATCTGTATGAGAGGGAAAAAATGGTAGGGGTGGCCACAAGGGAGGCCAATGTTTGGCTTAGGGTGGCCATGGACACCCCTGGCCCCCCATCTAGCTTTTCCATTGCCTGTATAGTCTCTACTTTTAGGTAAATGTTATGAAAACCTGAGTAGTAAATCTTTAGGTGTTCTCTCAGGCCTTTATTTTTCTGTTTGCTTAGATGTGGTGTATGTTGGGAACATCCACGCTTTCCATCTGAAGACCTGTCTGCTCTTTCTAAATGCCAAGAAGCATGTTCTGTGTGAGAAGCCACTGGCCATGAACACCAAGGAAGTAAAAGAGATCCTGGACTCAGCCAAAAGAAACCAAGTCTTCCTCATGGAGGTAAACAAGCACTAGATGTTCTATTATCTGCAGATATGGGATTGGAATCTGCAAACTATAATTTAGCCAGCTGATCCGGTGCCAAACAGTTACTTGTTTTTTTTCCAGTTTGTCCATAAATGCATCAACTAACAGAATGCACTTTATCCTTTTTTTTTTGAGTTTACAAATCTGATCATGCTTTGGGACTTCTGCCTTGGAATATAAATGGCAATGATTCTGCAATTCCTTGATTTTTGGCTTGTATTTGGAGAAACTTTGGTTAGTGCATCGTTAAAAATTATTTTATTCTTATGTTCTTTGTATTTTGAAGTTACGCAACTAATCCTGAAAGTGATCCTTGAAAACGATTGAGAAAATACAGGTGCTGGTCATAAAATTAGAATATCATGAAAAAGTAGATTGATTTCAGTAATTCCATTTAAAAAGTGAAACTTGTATATTATATTCATACATTACATACAAACTCATATATTTCAGATGTTTATTTTGTTTAATTTTGATGATTACAAATGACAACAAATGAAAATCTCAAATTCATCATATCAGAAAATTAGAATATTGTGAAAAGGTTCAAAATTGATGGCCCCTGGTGCCACACTCTAATCAGCTAATTAACTCAAACCACCTGCAAAAGCCTTTAAATGGTCTTTCAGTCTAGTTCTATAGGCTACACAATCATGGGGAAGACTGCTGACTTGACAGTTGTCCAAAAGACGACCATCGACACCTTGCACAAGGAGGGCAAGACACAAAAGGTCATCGCTAAAGAGGCTGGCTGTTCACAGAGCTCAGTGTCCAAGCACATTAATAGAGAGGCGAAGGGAAGGAAAAGATGTGGTCGAAAAAAGTGTACAAGCAAGAGAGATAACCGCACCCTGGAGAGGATTGTGAAACAAAACCCATTCAAAAATGTGGGGGAGATTCACAAAGAGTGGACTGCAGCTGGAGTGAGTGCTTCAAGAACCACCACACACAGACGTATGAAAGACATGGGTTTCTGCTGTCGCATTCCTTGTGTCAAGCCACTCTTGAACCACAGACAGCGTCAGAAGCGTCTTGCCTGGGCTAAAGAGAAACAGGACTGGACTGCTGGTGAGTGGTCCAAAGTCATGTTCTCTGATGAAAGTAAATTTTGCATTTCCTTTGGAAATCAAAGTCCCAGAGTCTGGAGGAAAAGAAGAGAGGCACTTCATCCACGTTGCTTGAAGTCCAGTGTAAAGTTTCCACAGTCAGTGATGGTTTGGGGTGCCATGTCATCTGCTGGTGTTGGTCCATTGTGTTTTCTGAGGTCCAGGGTCAACGCAGCCACATACCAGGAAGTTTTAGAGCACTTCATGCTTCCTGCAGCTGACCAACTTTTTGGAGATGCAGATTTCATTTTCCAACAGGACTTGGCACCTGCACACAGTGCCAAAGCTACCAGTACCTGGTTGAAGGACCATGGTATCCCTGTTCTTAATTGGCCAGCAAACTCTCCTGACCTTAACCCCATAGAAAATCTATGGGGTATTGTGAAGAAGAAGATGCAATACACCAGACCCAACAATTCAGAAGAGCTAAAAGCCACTATTAGAGCAACCTGGGCTATCATAACACCTGAGCAGTGCCACAGACTGATCGACTCCATGCCACGCCGCATTGCTGCAGTAATACAGGCCAAAGGAGGCCCAACTAAATACTGAGTGCTGTACATGCTCATACTTTTCATGTTCATACTTTTCAGTTGGCCAACATTTCTATAAATCCTTTGTTTTTATTGGTCTTCAGTAATATTCTAATTTTCTGATATGATGAATTTGAGATTTTCATTTGTTGTCATTTGTAATCATCAAAATTAAACAAAATAAACATCTGAAATATATGAGTTTGTATGTAATGTATGAATATAATATACAAGTTTCACTTTTTAAATGGAATTACTGAAATCAATCTACTTTTTCATGATATTCTAATTTTATGACCAGCACCTGTACATAAAAAAATGCATGGAAATGTTTTTAATATCAGCTGGTGTAACAGAGCGATGTTTGCAAAAATAAAAAATAGTCTCCAGGGACAGTTTCCTCCCCCTCTCTGAAGAAATTAACCTTACAGCTGTGGTAATCGGCTTTTAGTGATATAAAATTGCATACCGTATTTGCACTTTTTTAACTTGCAAATATGCAAGAGGCATGGATATTTTTCAAATTGTTTTATCTCCTTCAAAATTGTAATTAATGAGACATTTTTGAATACGCTAGCTTTGCAGAGAAAGCTAATTTTAGTTGTTTTTTTCTTTTAGGCTGTGTGGAGTCGTTTTTTCCCGGCTTATGCGGAGATCAGAAACCGGCTGGCGTGTGAGGAGATAGGCAAGGTGAAAATGGTCCGGTCAGAGTTTGGCATCGCTGTGTTACACAACCCAAGATTAGTACAGAAGGAGCTGGGTGGAGGAGCGCTGTTGAGTATAGGAATGTACTGCCTGCAGCTGGTGTGCATGGTGTACAATGGAGAGAGGCCAGAGAGCATCCAAGCTACCGGGGTCTGTCTAGAGACAGGTAATGAGTTAAACACAAGGGTGAGTTTCCTTAACCTTATTTTTGGTCACACCTTCCATGTTTTCTCTTATTTCGTTAACCGTGGTTTGATCATAATTGCAGGGGTGGATGAAACTGTGATAGTAAGTCTAAAGTACTCGGAGAAGAAAATGGCGGTGTGTACCTTCTCTTCAAGCATGCAGCTTCCCAATGAGGCCATTATTGTTGGAACCAAGGGCACGATCCAGGTAGATCACCAAGTCAGATACGTTAACTGATGAATACAGTAGGGATTGGACATCATTTGTAATCTTGTGGTCTTTTTTTAGATTCCTGTCCGGATGTGGTGCCCTACATCATTAGTTGTAAATGGTAAGGAGACCCAGTACCCCTTGCCAGAACCAAGTTTACCTTTGAACTTTCCCAACAGCACAGGAATGCGTTATGAAGCGGAAGAGGTTCGAAAGTGTTTGCTTGCAGGTAATATAAAGGTCTGTTTTGTACATTCCTATTATTCATACAACAAAAGGTAATTATGCATCAATTTCTTCTCCTAGGCCTGAAGGAGAGTGCAGTCATGTCCCACTCTGACTCACTCCTGCTGGTAGAACTGCAGGATGAGATCCGCCGACAGCTGGGCGTGGTGTACAGCCAGGACTGTTAAACAGTGTATTCATACAGTTTACAAAGAAATTAATAAATATAGATATGGAGATCCAGTTGTTTTTTTAAATACTTGTTTTATTCGTTTGCTTTTTGGTTAAGAGGACAAACGTACCCCGAAATGCCACATCCTCCGTAAACGGCCCACTCCAGACCACCCATGCGGTTCCTCAGAGCTCGAGGAGAGCATGCACGATATTATAAATGCAAACGAGGTAATGAACGCTTATTTTAATATAAGGGAAAAAAAATAAGAATCAGCCTCAGTATCTGTGCAGTTTCTGCCCAAACATTTTGTCATTGTGGATCTTGGTAGGGGGGATAACTAGGACCAAACAAAATTGATTTGTTCTCCAATTCCAAAATCAGCATCTTTTCATCCATAGCTGTGATAGGGTTTCTTTTGAAGTTGTGAGATGTGCTCTTAGTTGTGACTGGATTGGATGAAACTTAAAGCTACAGTGTGTAATAATTACAGGGATATACAGTCAGAAATGTAATATATTATACATAACTGTTATTTATGATCATCTACGAGCTCAGCCTCTTAACCTTAATATTTGCGTTGCCTTAGAATTCGTTATTTATAATTACATAGGAGCGGGTCTCGCAGCCATGGAGGCTGACATCTTTGCGCTACGGCAGCGCAGAGACAACAAACTAGCGATTGCGAGATCGCCCATTACGCTCGAAAGTAACTACGGCAAGTTGAGAGAGATGAACTGAGACGGTACTGAACAATAGATGGCAGTATTAAAATTATCTATGTAAACAAACCTCATCACTTGAGAAGGTAGGTGATGCGGACGTCGTGGAAGACATTTTGTCCCATAACGCTCGCCGTACTGTTGGGGGGGAGAAACGGTGGGGGGGAGATGTTCATGTTGCTGCGGTCTGCAGTCTGGACGTTAGATGTCGCTGAAAATTACACACTGTAGCTTTAAGTCTTTCAGCATAGAATATTTTGATCGAGGTGACAAATCAGCTTCCCTGTATGATAAGGTGCCACTAGTTTGCAACCAATCAAACTCTTTTGGAAAATGTAAAAATATGCTGTAATTAGTTACTATTCAAATTAATTACCAATTTGTCATTACCCTATTTTACAAAAAAAAAAAAAAAAAAAACAGATATTAAAGTTTTTCCTGACTGGTGCCATTGCAATTTAGGATCTTTACCTGACTGGCTTCCAACCGGGCAAAAAAAATAATAAATAGCTTGGCTCCGTATCTTCACGATGACATTAGGAGTAGCGGTGTATGTGGAACAGTTCTCATTGATTAACATGACTGCGTAAGTGCACTGCTGGAGGTACGCAAGCAGGGCAGAGCGCTGCAGTGATGGAGGATGTGGAATCTGTGGGTTAGGAGTTGATTCTGAGCTCAATTAAAAAAAAAATTAGTCTACATATAAAAACTGATTTTAGATAGTTGCAAATGTAGTGTATGTAAACTCCCTGAAATAGAGTTCAAACATTCTTTATTCCAAAAGGGAAATTTAATGTTGCCATAACTCAGAGTTTTTTTTTTTTTTGCATTGTCTAAAGCTGTAGCTGTAGTCTCGCACCAGATCTGGAGAAACATATTTCTAGAGACATTTGGTTTAAAAAAGTTCTAAAGAGGATGCTTGTCTATAATCTTAAACTCAAGCAATTTGAGGCCAAAAAAAAAAAAAAAAAAAAAATTTTAGATAGGTGCTCACTTTATTTGATGGAAATTCAGTCTTGAGATCAGCTAAACATCATAACCCTCCTTTACAGTTAGTTCTTAGACTCTATTACAATCAAAGCATGTTAAAGGAGCAGGATAGCTACAGTGGATCACCAGAGCAGACAAGGAGAGGGGCTCCAAACACAAGTCCTTGTGTTCAGTCAAAATCTCATATGTTACAAACCACAAGGTTTATAATTCCCTCTCAGATTTTATCCAAATGCAAAGAAATGTAAAGGCGTTATGTCACATCCAACATCACAAAAACAGTAACTCATTCTGATACCTCTGGATTGGTCACCACAAGCTCTCCTCTAAAGTTTAACATAAGCAGAATCTAATGCCCCCCTCAAAATAAAAACAACTTTACCAATCACTTAAGTCAAGTAGGATTTAGAATGTAACAGTGTCTGGAAAAAATAAGGAGTGCAACACTAGCAGATACACTGAAACACAAGGAAAGCTGGTTATTAGAGGACACTTCAGACAGACAGCAATACACAAACTTCTCTTCATGGGGCGATGTGGAGTCGAGCTGTTCTGTAGGAGAGACCTCCGTCAATATTTTGTTCGTTACAATACAACAAGGTGCTCTTTAAGAGCAGCCGGCTCCTTTTCCATCAACACCTGAACAGGAGCCAAATAAACATGCACACAGATGTAGATTCTACTCACTGGCTTTCATTTTAGTATTACAAGTTTGGAGTGAATAAATACAGCAGTTTCTGTTCAGGATTTAATAAACTGAAGTCCCGACAACTGGTTTGATTGTTAAAGAAATCCCAAAACACTATGTTGAAGGAATGATATTATTTCTTGGAATTATCTGGAAGGAAACTGCTACCAAACAAGCAGCTCCATTACAGCCACCTTCTGATTGTTTGCATGAGAACTTAAAAACTAAACAGGTGAGTTTTCACATGGGGGAGGGTGGGGGTGGCGGGAGACAGATGAATGTGAAGGGTTGAAGCTGGGCAGCTGGGTTGGCCGTTTAAGCCACCTGAACCACACGCATGGTGTTGGTGTATCCAGAGCCAGGACGCCAGCCAGTCAGGATGATGACAACGTCACCCTCTTTGAAGAAGCCTCTGGCCTTGCCTAAAAACATTTCAAAAGAAAAATCAGTTACCAATACATTAGATAGCACAAAATCAGAATAAGGCTACCTTCACACTGCAGCCTGAAGTGACCCAATTTTGTCCCGTATCCGACCTGTATCTGATCTTTTCATGACAGTCTGAACAACACAGATCTGATCTTTTCCAGTGCGACCCAGGCCACTTGGCTATGTGGTCCTGAATCCGATACGAATCGGATCTTTTCAAATGCGACCTGTGTCTGAACTGCCAGGTCGCTTTCATCTGACCTGAACGCCATTAATACCCAACAAACGTCACTAGTCTGGGTCTTGCTATAAAGAAGCAGCAACAAAACAACTATGGCGGACGATGATGCGGAGAGCAGTATTTATGTTTAACCATCTTGAAAAGATTGAGTTTTTACAGCTGGGAAAGATCACTAGACGGCGACGCGCTCCGGCACTACCATCCATGTTTACTTCCATAAACTCAGAGCACGCTGGCCTGTGATGTCATTGCGTCCTCTACTGCGCATGCAGGACACTTGCGTTGTATGAATGCAGTTCACACAGGAGATCACATACAAGTCAAGTATATTTGGAAATGTGAACGGCAACATAAAAAAAATTGGATTTCACAAAAAAATTGGAATTGAGCATCAAGGCCTGCAATGTGAACGTAGACCAATACTGGTACGTAAGACATTGGCCAAAGTCCCTGCAGAAGCCTTCATTCCTCTCAACACATTTACATTTTATAAGAGATTATAAACGAGTGCAGCTACATCAGGGAGTGGCTAAAATATAAAATCAATAAAAAGTGTGTAGACCATCTTCATTCAGCTACAGCATCACAACCTTGTATAAGTTTTTTTTTTGCATTGGTTGTTGTATGCTTGAAATCTTTGTGCATCTATAGATTAACATCTCATCCAAATTTTTACTTGCAAGAGAAATTAAGCTTATATTGGTTGGAGCTTTTTTTCAATAAAAAAATGTAAATATGATTTGCTTTCGTTTTGAATTTCAACAGGTCATTATAATATGAATCCATTCAGTTGCTGCTGCAGCTCCATATTTAGGAGTGTTCTCCAGCAGAAATGGGGGATCTTTTCCAAATTTCAGCAGCCCTTCTTCTTAATTTGATGTACACAAACTGGGACTTTCTATTTGCTGCTCTTTCATAAATTCCAAACCTGTGGAGTGCATGACCAAAGTGGTCATAACATATTCTACCATCCAAGAGGTTGTTGCAGCTTCTTCAGACATATGTCTGCTCCTTTCATTAAAGTCTCCTCCTCTACCCTCAAATTTTAAAAAGATGAAAACTTTTTTTTTTTATTCCCTTAACGTACCTCTTCTATTGTTTGACATAAATCAATTTTCCTCCGTTTCCGCGGTTGTTTTAGGCCCCATTAGTCAGTTCATAAGGGGAGTTTTTTGGGCTAAATTCTCTAAGCATGCATGCGTGTAACATGCTGCAAATTCTTGTTCATCTGGCTACATATTCTCAGCCTGGAGTGACAGAACAGGAGCAACGGTTTATACAGATGGATTAGAAAAGTCCAACCAAAAGTAAACCTTACCCCCATCACAGACTTTTGATTGGGGCAAAACTAAAGTCTTATTGGAGATGGAATAATATGTATAATTATTGGGGAAGCTAAACAAGAGCTTAGATCTGCCCTGGGAAAGACAACAGACCCACAGTTGGACCTTTTATTGCTAAAGAGGTAAGACGCTCCCTTCAAAACAACTTGGATATTTACAACTTTCTCATCGCAAAGGCCTAAAAAACACACACAATTCAGTGATGGCAGCAGAATTCTGTGCTTTTCCCCTTTCACAACTTTGATTTCATTTCAGCTTGTTGACAGAGTGGCCAATTGCTCCTTTAAGGAACTATCCTATGTTGGTAGGTTTTCAGCAGAATGCAGCTTTCATTTTCAATTATTAAAATAGAATATTCATTTATAATCCAGTGTTTGCGTATTATTGACCCCCTTCTCCCTACCTAGATGTTTCCAAGTTACCTTTTCTCTTACGAACAGCTTAATGCATGAACTGCTTTTCTTTTATTTTTAAACAATCCTGTCATTTCAGTCTCTATTTTTATGCTCTTTTACTTGCAGCAGGGTTCCACCCAAAATGCAGACAGATGGACACACTTCCTCCACATGAAAAGATTTTGCAATAAACTGCAAAACAAGCTGAAATATCTTAGCAGCACTCATTCTGCTGCAAGTAGCTGCCATATATGTCACCTTGTGTTCAACTTCAGAAAGTAGCCAAAGCTCAGCCTCAGGCCCTGCTCCTAGCAAACAAAACTAGATTTTTATCTGTGTGAAAGGTTGCATCCTGGCAAAAAAAATAAATAAAATAGGGGTGGGGGTTGAATACTTTCACTAGACTCAGAAGTTCCTTTTCAATCGGGACAGACCGTAGCTACTTACCCATTTCCTGTGCAAAGTTAACACGCATGTCAACATCCTCTGCCCAGACATCATGAGGGGGCTTGGTGTACAGAACAGGGAAGATCCCGCGGTACAGGTGGGCCTGGCGAGCCGTCTGGGCATTACGGGTCACGGCAATGATGGGCGCACGGGGCCTGTACCTGGACAGCAGGTGGGCAGACCTGCAGATGGGACAGGCAGAAGGCTGAGAACTAAAGAACATTTACACTGTAGTGTTAAAAGGTCCGCAGAATGACTGGTCTGATTATAAATGCATTGAGAATATCTGAGCAAACTAAAGAAAGTTGACCTCTCACCTAAAGAACCTCTGGGATTGTGATTATAATCTGAAACTTCAAGCCTACCTGCTAAAACCAACATTATGAGAATAAGAATCTAAATTACATCTATTATTTGACATAATTTAGGGCCGTTTGAACTATTCCCTCTGGCAGAAAGATCAGGGATAGAAGAATGTGTAATAAGCTCAGTAAATCCTTCCACTGTTCATCAACTGTAAGGATTTTTGCTCTGATAATTACATCATTTGAACAGATATCAGTGGCTGTGTCCAAATTTTCACTCTAATCACTATATAGTTATTACACCATTTTAGATGTGTCTGAACGTGTAGTGGATGAAAAAGTAGTGGACTCGAAATTTCCCACAATGCACCTTGGAAGTAGTGATCATCCACGGTCACTAGACAAGCAGATATATCCCAGAATGCCTTGAGGGGAGCGCAAAGGGCAGATGTTTGGACACAGACAGTGAAGTCTATTAATGATGGCAGCAGCTGGAGATTGAGATGGATTGTTTGCTATATGAAATTTTTCTTTTTCTTAAAACAGAGATTATCAGAGCTGCTCTTCATTCATAGACCATGTAGCTTAGACTCAATTCTTCAACCAAGATTGTTAAATTAAATATTTTCCTAGTACGAATGCACCTTTTGTAAAATGTAGTTGATCCAAATTGTGGACCTTTGTAACCAAATATACACTCTGCTAATATGTAAAAAGAGAATACGTTAAAACCCAAATGAGTAAAATGGGAGTCGTCACCTATTGTGGTGTATTCTGACTCACACAGATCTGTCAGCTCCTTTAAATATTATAAAGACTTAATAAATAAAAAATAAAGAGTCTCTAGAATAAACCAATTTCCAAACATTAGTGACTAAAAGCATCTAATGTGAACACGGATTAAATATTCAAGGCCAACAAAAGCGGCATACGCTATGAGGCTTCAGCAGGATAGATTTTATTACAGGGTTACAGTTTTTTTTTTTTTTTATATTTTTAATCACACTGCCCGTGTTTGCTACAAATCTAACCATCTCAGACTTGCAACCAAAGAGAAAACTAGTGCACAGCCTAGTTTTCTTTTATTGGTTCTATGCTCTGTTATTACTTCCTATGTAGAGCGAAAAATAGGAACTGACATTGTTCTATTGAAAGAGGTCTAAATGAAATAAGCCTATTCCTTATAAAAACTTTAATTCTAAAAAAATAACATAATTGATCTCACATTGGAGAAATTTGCCTCTGCATTTAATCCATCCCCTTGGGGAGCTGTAGGCTGCCATTGTGCGGCACCCAGGGAGCAGTGTGGGGCATTCTGTGAGAGTTGGGCTCGAACTAAGAACCTCAGGATTGCAAGCTTTATGCCCTAACCACTAGGTCACCACTCCCCACATGCAGCTTATTTTTTAAGATGCATCAGAATGTAATAATTTTTAACAAGCTGCACTTTAAGAAGATCTTCTATAGAAGAACAGAGTCTTCACCATGAGGTGGTAGACTTCGGATCATGATTCTGGCATTAAGGAACAATCCTGTCAGTTTTTAGGCTCCTTTTGTTCAAAGAAATTGGTCACATTTGCTTTTCAATATGACAGATCTCACATATTAGACATACATTTTCCAAACAAATGTATATATCATATACAGAACAGTATTTATCAGATTTGCTATCAAATGAGTCTTCAATAAAATTTGGAGAGTTGATTCATTTACATTCAGAGTAAGTTCACCCATTTGTTAATGATAAACAGGCGGACACCTTGATTTAGCTAATGCCATTCCCCACTCTCACTCTCTCCCCTTAGCCTCGACACCCACACACTCCGCGTACACACAGAATTAAAGGACAGATTAAATGTTGGAGAATGAGGAGCTGTGGTATTCATGCCTTACCTTCAGGTTTAACAATGCAGCCCCCCCTCTTTCTTACCTCCCAGTCTTAGTGAGAATAATGATGGCACTAGCACAGCATTTGAAGGATGCTTCAACAGCTCCCACTGCTACAGCCTCTGAGGGGTCTCTGGTCAGGTGGGAACTTTTCCTTAGCTCCTCGAACAGCTGTCTGTGGAAGGTGGCTGCTTCTGCCTCTCGTGCTATCTAAGCCCCGAATGGAAGGTTACTTTCAAACACACTCCACTACAAACGCATACAGGCACTCACACCACTGAGAAAGACTGGCAAAAACAAGAGCTAGACTATGCTGCACAAGGATACTTCTGGAAGGGACGTTTATAAAGGGTAAAAATTTAGGCTCTGATCTTAGAAAAGGTCAAATAGTTGGATTATATGTGAAAATATGTGGATTAAATATACCAGACAAATAATCTAGCTGAGTTTTGGCCAGCTTGCCCAGATATTTCATCTATCAAACCCTGCCTGGCCCTACTCTCCCTCTCCGTCTCTTCAAGTTTCCATCAGACATCTGTAGGACGTCCATGCCACATAACCTGCCTACCTTCCAGAGCCTGTGAGCACAATGATGGCAGAGGCCAAGCTTTTAAAGGAGGCCTCGACAGCACCGATTGCAATAGCCTCAGCCGGGTCTTTGCAGTGCGGCGTAGAGCGACGCAGGTCCTCAAACACCTGTCGGTGGAACATGGCCGCCTCGGCTTCACGAGCAATCTGGCACAAGGGCAAGATGCATCGAGCAAAGGCATCCCCACATCAGGAGTGCACACAGATGGAAAAGGAAATTATAAGAAAAAGGGAGAAAAGACATGGGGAGACAGAATGACAAAGTTAAGAACACAAAAAAAAATGTGGAGGAATGACAGAATAGATAAAATTTTAGGAAAGTTTAGGTATGCAATTAGTGGGAGGGAGACAGAAAAATATAGTTAAAAATGTGTTGGATTATATTAAATGTGATGTTCAAGATTCTGACACACTGCTAAAAATGCAACATCAATCATATAACTGAGACTACAAATGTGACATTAGTGATTCGTTAAAACTTGTTTGTACATTTTAACAGGACCTCCTGAGTTCAATCTTATCATGCATAGACATATACAACATAAAGCTCTTAAAGCGATGGGAAATAAAAATAAAAGGAGAGAAAGGAAAATCAGCCAGGGAAAAAAAACACCCAAAGACCCAGACATTAAGAAGTTAGTCTAGATTAGTTTTTCAGGGTTCTTGCCTAATCTGCAGCTACTGTTAAATGTGTGTTTTACTCCGGATATCAATAGACATAGTCTACAACAAGAGCGCTGCATCTGCTGAGTCACAGAGACATCTGCATAGTGGCTAAGAATAGCAGCGGTTAGCCAAGAAGGCCCCAGGACTGAAGGACTTGTGGAAGTCAATACATCATCCATCCATGCAACTGATAAACTATAACACAAAACCCTTTATGGTTTTCAAACATTTGTCTGTCCCTAACTGATTAACACAAAAATTGAAAGCAGCAAACTTTGACAAATTCAAAGAGGCCCAATATTGATACTGATATAAAATTAAATTAATACAAAAAGAGAAATAAAAAGAGTCAGTAAATTTAGCATTATTCTGCAATGTGTCAATTGCAGAAGAATATAAATGGAAAATAAAAACAAACAAGTGGTACGGACCATGAGGTGCAGAGAATGTGTTAGATTAAGGAGGTGCAGCAGCTGCCATGTATTGTAGCTTTGAGAAAAAGCTACCAGGATGCTGTTTAAGTCATTAAAAGCTACATGCAAATCTTCAACATCATGCAGCAGTCCAAGTACATATAGCTACTACACAATCGGAATTATTGTATTGATTTATTCATCAATTCATACATTTCAAAGAGGAACTAAATCTGAAGAACTAAGAATGTAAGAATGTAAGCATGTGCACTGCCTGTCTGGAAAAAAAAAACAATACCCACCACTGATTCTTTGACATTCTTTAGCCTATTTTATGGTAACAAACTGCAGTATTGTTTTCAATGTTCTCAGATTATAGATACATTCATACTAGGCATTTATAGCTGCATAGACTTTTTACTAAGATTGTGTAAAAATGACCATCTGCTGCCTGATTCTCAATGGACTTTGGACAGTCCAGGGGAGAAAACGCTGTCACATCAAGTCTGATAAATCCTGGAAAATGCCCAAGGGGAATCAGAGAAGCATTAATTGATTGACAGAATCACCTGGTTATTTTATATTTAATACATTTTAAGGTGATGAGGCGACTCCATTTTAAGGGCACAAAATGTTGCTGAATCTACTGTATACCTGACAAACTGCAGCAACACTGCCCCCCAGAGGCTTGTACGGAGGGAGCCATGTTGGATTCATTTAGGCACCTCTAACACCGATGCACTCATCCATCAGGGCAAAAGCAGAGTCAAATCTGGAACCTTTGTTACCAAATTGAATCCTTTAATTCTGACCATTTAATCAGTGCTCTATTAGGGCATCTCTGCTGTTTAGTTAATCACATCAGTTCCCTTTGAATTGTGCAATTATGATGCACATTATAGTCACTATTCAACACCAAAGACTCCTGCTGCAGTTTCTTTGTACGATTTGATTTTTTAAACTTTTAAATGATCTTGATTAACCCCACAATACATTTCTTCTATGATGATAAACTTCCATATCATCCTAACAGCTGAACAGTTAAAGAAAAAAAGCATCCAAAGCCAGCAGTGGCATCTCCCAACATGTTCTACAAATGAGAACCTTTTCACCACCTCGTTTATGTTTTAAGAAGTTATGGCCGTAAGCTAATCTTTAAAGCAATAATAATGCAAAGGGTGGATTTTACAGATGTGCTTTGTTAAATTTCAGGTAATCCTTTTTTTTTTATAGATCAGGCAGTGCATATACTGACAGTAGCTGCAACAAAAATGAGGCAATACATAAAAGGCAAAGGTTGATTGTTGGAAAGGCAGCCGATTCTTAGCTTAATTTTTTAAAATTTAATTTCATAGTATATCATGAATACACTTCCGACAACATTGGTTACGTCGATTTGATCAATTTATTTTCAATAATATTTAGCAGTTTGCGTAGTGTTTAGATGGACTCACCATGTGCTGCGTGCGAACGGCCTCCAGGGGGTAGTCTCCCTTTGCAGTCTCCCCGCTCAACATGATACAGTCAGCTCCATCCAGGACAGCGTTTGCAACGTCACTGCCTTCGGCACGGGTTGGTCTGGGCTTCTTGATCATGCTCTCCAACATCTGGATAGTTTAAGAAGATTTCGTTTAGATAGTGTCACATTTATAACCCAAACGTTATCGTTGTAGTGAATCTGGCTTAAGCTACTGGACCAGACCTTTCTCTAAATAAAACTGCTCTATGAGAGATTTGAATCCCCCCCCTTTTTTTGTAGGTTCTTCAACAAATCCTTAATCTCTAGCTGGGTAATTATGTTCTGTATAGAAGAGTCGTACAAGGGAAAACTGCATGGATTTTTAGGAACAGTTTGTCATCTGTGACAAACAAGGCTGATTGGAATAAAAGCTAAATTCTAGATAAAAAGGCCAAAATAATTTTAAAAGATTCAAAGCTACTCCTACCATCTCACCCAACCACACTAATGTAAAAAATAAAGAAGCACCACTCAACAGCGATAAGGTATTAGTTTTTAAAACAACATTTGGCAAATGAACCAGATTGAACAAATTGCTGATGCCGAAAAAAAAAAAAAAAAAAAAAAAAAACCTCCACAATTTAGCTCCAACTAATCATATAGTGATATAAATGAGAGCAGGTTGATCATGTTAGAGGCTTATTTTAGGAAATATATTTGTGTAAACCACAGAAACTTTTATTTAATGTTGGAAGATGAAAGTCTCAAACTGCCTTATGCTTCACACTGTTGAGCAGGAGATTTTAAGAAACTACATTCTAGATAATTAAGGTTTAAATATCTGGATTGTTTCATCACCCCAATAAGTTATATTCGGGAAACTCTCCATTGGAAATCTACGCTCCTTTTAACCATCAACGTACCTTTATATGTTAATGAAATCCACTATTTACAATATTTTTAAATGGGAAACATCACTGTTCCAGCCACCAACCTGAGTTGCACATGTGATCGGCTTGCCAGCTCTGTTGCAGCGCCCAATCATCATCTTCTGAGCAAGAAAGACCTTTTCTGTAGGGATCTCAATACCCAGGTCACCACGGGCAACCATGATGCCATCGCTAGCCTCCATGATCTCATCGAATCTGAAAAATGAATACAAACATGATTAAAGCTCTCAAAGAACATGTTAGTTACACAATCTGCAGTCAGCTTGTCACCCTCATACACACCTGCGTACACCTTCATGGTTCTCCAGTTTGCTGATGATCTTGATGTTTTTGCCCTTCTCTCCAAGCACGGCTCTGACAGCATGTACATCATCTGCTTTACGAATGAAAGAGGCAAAGACCATGTCCACTCCCTGCTCCACACCAAACTGCAGGTCCATAATGTCCTTCTCTGAAACAGCAGGCAGGTCCACAGCAGCACCAGGGAGATTCACTCCCTTCTTACTGCCCAGAGTGCCACCGTTGTCAATCTTACACATGAGGTAATCAGAGCCTGGAGAACAAAAATAAATACAAGATAAACAATAGCAGCTTAATCATCTAAAAGATTCATGAGATTACCTTTAATCCATTCTACTCACCAATCTCCTGGACTTGCAGAGAGATGAGTCCATCATCAATGTAGACCTTACTGCCAACTTCCACCACTTTGGTTATGTTCTTGTAGTCGAGCCAGAGGACCTCCTCACTGCAGTTATCTTGATAAGCATCGTCCAGGGTAACCTTGATCATGTGGCCTTTCTTCAGTTCTACCTCTGCTGTGCCACTCTGTCACACCATAAAAACCCATAAAAAAATGTTTGTATTTTCTATTCATTATTGGCTAAAATATAGGTTAAGGAACGGGGATTAACTCTAAACTTACCCCTTTGATAAGGCCAGTCCTGATCTCTGGGCCCTTGGTATCCAGAGCAATACCAATGGGTCTGTAGTGGATACTGCCAGGCTCGAAGCTCTCACATGCTTCCCGTACATTCTTGATGGTCTCTGCGTGGTACTGCAGAAAGGTAGATTTGTTAGATACATGCAACACAGGAGCACTTTATTTTCATATCCACAAAACACCTACTTTAGATCAAAAAGTGAAACTCGAGCAGATTTAATTTATTAATTTGGATGTACATCATGAAAGCCCAAAATTTACAAGGCGTTAAGTGGGATTAAATGGAGAGTGTGGCAGGCGGACCCGTGATTTTGGCACAGATATACCAAAAGTGTCCAAAAAGGTTCCAAATTTATTTTTTCCCTGAATAAAAAGGAATCTGGTGTAATAAAAGTGCCGGTTTCCATTGTTTTTTTTATAAGGACGTGCCATAGAGACTCGTAGAGCAGGTCTCTATGGCACCCTTCCTCATCTTCCACACCAAAATGCAAGCCATTATCTGAACATTTTTGTCAAACAGTTTGAGTCTGTATAGCCAGAAAAATGAAATAGATCTATTTTGTTCTGCTCCAACTGTAAGATGCAGCTAGTGAGATGTTGGGTAAAAAAAAGCGTTTATTTAATCCTTTTGAGACAAGAATTGTGTAAAGGTCACATGAACTAGCACAGAATTGATACTAAAATAGACGGGACAAAAATTAACTGAAGTAAATGTTTGAAACAAATTCTCTAACACATTACAAAATATTCAACACAATGGATCCATAATATTTTAAAATGTAACTCATAAGTTCTGATTTACCAAGACACACCTGTACTGTTACAAGCCTTCATTTTAGCAGCTACAAAAATCAGGTCAGGGCAATTAAAATACAAGGTGTGTTTAACAGCTGACACCACCATAAAGCAATTAAGTAATCTCACCATTACAACGGTCAACGGGTTTTTTCCCTCCTTTGACCATTTTGGAGTAAAAATCTTTGATTTTTTTTTTTTTTCATATTTTGCAACATATTGATGGACGTGTAAATACCAGTGGGACTACATTCATAAAGTGCAAGTCAGGATGATAAATGGATGGTTGTTAGAACTTAAACTAACACATCTCCTGTACTGATGGCTTCGTCAGCAGCTGTCCTTTACTACAACTATATTTTATGACATAATTATCAGTTTCACAGATAAGGCTGCTGGCTTGTGTCTAATTTTAGTAATGGCATTTGAAGTTGTATGGCATTTTATAAAATAATATCCAGCCTGTTTTTTCCAAAATTCTACTAACTGATAAACCAATCAACTGTTGCAATAATTAGCCAGTCTATAATTTTAAAGAACATCAAACTGTCAATCCAAGGTCACACTGGTCTATAAAACGTTCTTGCAGTTATGCAAACAATCGTGGCTCATGGTCAAGCTGTGGGAAAGTTGGAAGGAGACTGACTCAGTATGGTTTTGTTTTACAACCTTTAGTGAGGCTAATTAACAGGTAGTGTAGTCTTTATGGCTTTGAACATAGCTGTCTACTGTCTGAAAGATGCACCGTCACTGAAAGCTCAGGATACTGGGGAGTGGTTGCCTAGTGGTTAGAGCACTGCGCTTGTGTCCCAGAGGTTTTAGAGTTCAAATCCCGCTCATTCCCACTGACTGCCACTCTGGGTCCCTTAACCCCAGCCTGCTACCCGGGTGCCACACAATGGCAGCCCACTGCTCCCAGAGGGGATGGGTTAAATGCAGAGAGTGAATTTCCCCATTGTGGGACAATAAAGGATTTATATTTACTGAGGTAGTGTATTAAATTTGCAGTTTTTCTTTGCTCCAGCATCTGGTTATTACAAATCATTTGGATGGCTACTTGAAATCAGTTTGCTGCTTGACAGTTTTATTTAGCTTTACTGGAACCGTTTCTGATCCTTTTCTGATATATTTTACACTGTAATACAGCTAGTAACCATTCTTTGTAGTTGTAGCATAATATTAGACATGGATCATCTAACTTTAGAATCATATGTGAACTGGCATTTCCCCCTTTGAAGCAAACAAAAGTTTGAGACTTTGGTTGTCACTCAAGAACTACAACCTTATGAAATCAGTGATTCAACGCTGGAACAAATATTAGCAACACTTTATATTAACTAGACCAAATGTTTATTTGCTTTGTATCAGCATTTCTGTTCTTGGTTAAAGATTAGAAAAGCTAAATTGTTCTCTGTGGGGAACAATTCATAATGCGACATGTGCTTTCTTCAGTCAATTTGTTGACCATATGTCTTAACTTTAGCCTGAAACTACAGATGATAGCAAATATTGCCACAAGGCTCAACATACCAGCTGAGATAAAGCACAGAGCCAAGTTTGATAAGATTTGACAGGTGAATGAAACCAGATTTGAAAAAAAAAAACCAACCTCATGTGTACCATGGGAAAAGTTCATCCGAGCAATGTTCATTCCAGACTTGATCATCTCCTTCAGCATTTCCACAGATCGAGATGCTGGTCCTGCAGGAAAGAGATGTTTGTTTTCCAAATAGTGCAAGATTAAAAACTTTAAACTTTATTGCAACTTTGTAACAGTACTCCAAATGTTATACTTCATTGAGCACACCAATAAGAAAATTTAACAAAATCCATCCAGCCTTTTTATATGAATTCCAACTAAACAGTAAAAATGCAACAAATAAAACCCCAATAACACTAGAAAGGAGATTCCTATAAAACAAACCCTCATTTAAAATAAAACCAACCAGAAAGCATCAACTAACCAATGGTGCAGATGATCCCAGTGTTGCGGGCAGTGGTAGGTTCAGAGTCGATGTCCAGCAGGCACATGTGTTCCAGGAAGGAGTCTGCCATGGCAGCGTTGAGCTGCTGTGTCTGGATGAAGGCAGAGCCCATGTCTTTTGGCAGAGGCATGGTGATCGCGTTTACGGTTGGACAAGTACTGTATAGAAAAAATAAATAAATAAAAGATTAGATTATAATTCAAACACAGCAGCTATAAGATGACAACAGTGTCAGGAATTCCTCTCACTGCACCAGGTTTCATCCCTTTATGGCTGCACAAGGTAAATAAGCAGTACGTTTCGACCAAGCCATTTAAGTTCCTATTAATGCCGCGTTTCTCAAAGTGTGTGGCGCGACCCACTGGTGGGGAATTGAGACGTGACAGGTGGGGCGCGCCAAGTTCCGGTGTGTGTGTGTGTGTGTGTGTGACTATAAATGTAGAACGTGTGAGAGCAAACTGTCCTTATAGCTGTATGTTGCCGCTTTTTAGACCAATCAAACCCACAAAGTAATCATTACTAGCCTACATGCAGTCTAATTGAAAGAACATTAGATATGAGAAAAATTTCACCTGGAACTGAAGTGCCAAAATAATGATTGACGTGACGTCGGCATATTATTTGTAACGGAATAAACTTTCGCGCCCCAGTGTTGCCAACTCAGCGACTTTGTCGCTATATTTCAGACCCCTCCAGCGACTCTTTATCAAAAAAGCGACTAGCGACAAATTGGCGACTTTTGGAGACTCTTACGTGAAAGCACGTATCGTTCCTTTTCTTGTCCTCCAGCGGCAGGTGCTGCCGTGGGGCGCCTCCCACATCCCAACCCCGTTCTCCCCCGCTATCGCAGGAGTCCCTCTCAGCGCTGCAGTCAGAGACACAGCATGTTTACCCTCAGCGTCCAGACTGCAAATAAAGCGCACATGCGCCGGGATTGGCGGCGCAGGTTGATCATAATTAACTGAATTTGAAATATTTTATCTTAAATAAATAGGACCAGTTTATTGAAATGACGTCTGACTCCACCCTGAGGCTCAGGTTTAATGCTCAGACTCATAGTGAATTCTGGTTTGGATTGGAGAGGGAGTATCCACTCATCGGGCAGAGAGCTGTGTGCATTCTTCTTCCCTTTGCCACATCATATCTCTGTGAGATGGGCTTTTCAACTGTTGCTTCACTGAAAACAAAATACAGATCTCAGCTGAACATTGAGCATGACTTGAGAGTGGCAGTATCAAGCCTGCAACCCCGTTTTGAGAAACTGTGCAATGCAAAACAGGCTCATTGCAGCCACTAATGCAGGGATAAATAGACCTGTATTGCCAGATGGATTTCACTTCTTTTCTTTTATTAACAGATTGCAGAGTGACACTTTAATTTTTTCTATCTTTGAGCTTGATACAAATTTTGACACAGCTGCATTTTTATTTTCTTTATTTTTGAGCTTGCTGTTATTTGATGTAGATAGTTTTTTATTTAGATACTACTTGTTACTTCAATAAAATTGGAACATTTTAAGATTGTTGCATATTTCATTAGCATTGCGTTGGGGCGATGGGGACAGGCGGGGCTTGAAAATTCCCCCTTGTCCAAAGTGGGGAATGACAGAAAAAGTTTGAGAACCACTGTATTAATGGGATGGTTTTATCTCAAAAGGTTCAGTTTTATGGAAGGTTCATACATTACCGGTAGGACATGAGAATACTGGATTTTCCTTTCCATTACACAAGTGTTCAACAAACAAAAAGATAACAATTGCAGGAAAAAAAAAAAAAAAGGAAAAAACAAACCTCAAATGTGAAATATCATGACCTACGACAGCTTTTTACACCAATATTGTGTTATCTCCTCCATAAAAGTAAAAAAGATGTAGGCTTATGAAATACACCATTTCTGGGTAAATACGTGTTGCTGTGAATAAAGGTTTTATGCAATGCTGCCTTTTTTTCTTAAGTTCCTCTTAGTTTTAGCGTTTCACAATCAGCTAACAAAATGAGTAGATCAACTCCCTACTTTTTCAGACAACCATAACCAGTTCTTTATATTGACCTTAAATTGAACATATTAAGACACTGTATATAGAAACAGAGCACTGAGCCTCTCCACAATGTTATAGAGCTTCTCCACACCCACCTGCCCTTTGAGTCATCCTTAGCAGTTAGCTGTGAACAATACAGTCATAAAGCTACAAATGTGGGATTTCCACAGATTTGAAAACGATACCTATTGTAGCACAAAACTTAGCTTGTATAGAAACCCAACAGTCTCCCACAACCAACCCCCCTTCCTTCAGTATGTCAATGGGGGCAAACATCCTGTGGTTAGATAACTACTAAAACAGCTCACCCATCAGATTAGCTTTTCCTAACCACTCAATGTGAGGATTTAATATGACTGGTGTTGAACTCATTTTAAGGTTAACGGCTTTGCCATGCATCACTGAATCCACCATGAGGAAGACTTTCCTTAACCAAAGGCATCTTCAAGAAGCTACCTGTGTATTGTCCCCAAAAACTATGTGAAGTCGGTGGAACGCTATATTTTAAGAAATAAGGTACCAGTAGTTTTAAATCTAACTCTATGGAAACTGTCAATTTAACAAAAACACTTGGGTAAGCATCTCTGACACCAGCTTCTCTTTCACCCTTTATAGCAGCTGGTGAAAAGATAAAGTTCCTCTCTATCTAAATTATGCATGTATTCCCTCAGTGGGTGAACTAAAGACAAACTGATGCCTTAGTTGGGTAACAATCCCTTTAGCTTGTTTTTGTGGGTTCATACATGCAGAGCAACAACCGGTCCCCTCAGCACCAAACAGGGTTTCTTAAATGGGTAAGTGAATTAAAACTTTTCAGAGAGAAAGAAAATTACTATTTTTTTTTTCTATGTCAACTGTAAACCTGTTTTATCCTGTGGCTTAGCTCCCCAAATAAAACTGGTATAATTGGAAGCACATGTTAAGGTTTGTACAGAAGCAAAGAAAGGCAGAGTAAGTCTGGAAAATCTTACACATTGATCAGGCACACTAGAGGTTTAACTTCCTCTTACTCATCACATCCTCACTACAGATGCATCAAGACAGGGGATTCCAGACAGAGCTGCAATACCAGCAGAGGCTACTGGCCTGTGATGTAACGTTTCCATCAATTGCTCAGATCAAATCTGTACGTGAGCACGGTCATATCCCACTACTACACCAGACCACCTCTGAATGAGCAAAACCACAAAGACTAGCATCCTTTAAAGAAAAGGCACCACTTCAACATGTATTTGTAGCCCAATTACTGATCGTGAAGAATTGCTTTAGCTAACAAAAATTTAATATTTCCATTTTGGTAATAAATTGTCTGCTTCACATTATATAGCCAGGGAAATACAAGCAGGAAATAAAAAATATTCCCATACTAGAACCCAAAAAAAATGTAAAATCTGACGCAACCCGTAACCAGTAGACTGCAATATTACAGAAACCACAACAATCTACAAATGTAGTTACATTTTTAAAGCCCTGCTTAGGTGGCAGCAATAATCAGAATATGTGAAAAGGTTAACTCATCCATTATAATCTACAGGTTTATGGATGCATTACTCAAATGATTGAAAGTTAATGAGCACATCAAGAAATAAGTATGCATTTTCTTTTTAGTTTAATAAAAGAACAAATAAAAATGACTTTTAAAGAACCTGCATCCCCCTCAGGTACCCCTCATGTTTTCTTGTAAAAAATGACTGTATTGATCCCCTCAAAATAATGCCAGCATGTCCTGTGTTTAAGGTTAGAAATGTCCTATATTTGTCACATACATGCAAAGGATCTTTCAGTCGTCAAAAGAACCAGAAGCATGGCTTTCAATGAGACGTGACAATTCCCATTATCCACTATGGATGTGATGTAACACCTGGCTAATCCAAGTTAGCTCACAAGGACAGTAGTGTCTTCAGTTGATCATACTCACTTAACCCAGCCTGCATCTACAGCTTTACATACCGCTGGTAGATCCTTAAGTTACTCCTGGAGACAACCACGGACCTCCAGAGCCACCCCAGTGTGCTGAAATGTCCAATGCCTGTGAGCAATCCACGCCTTGTCACAACAGAGCTGACCGCTGCACTGTGCTTGGATACGTGCGACACATCCAGGAGCTCAGACTTAAATCCATTCAGTGGGGATAAAGAACATGAGGAGCACCTGCAGAAACTCGACGTTCGCCATGACCTGATCCAGCGGACAGACATGAGGCTCCGAGCGTAGCACATCAGAACAGCGTTGCACTGATTTTACTGCTAGCATGGGCCAGACAGAGCCTGGGCTAAAAACAGAATCTGGGCTAATTTTAACACACAGCATAGAAAGCTGCTGGATAGAAATATCACACTCCATAATACATGCACCCTGTGGGGCTGGCAGGTCAAGCTGCTATACTCTCAGAGACCTCAGATCTGTCCCTTAGCTAGTTTTAAGAATCTAAACCAAACATGGAATATAAATGACACCGTTCTTTGAAACTTCAGAATGAGAACAACTCCAGTGGTACGGGCTACAGTGAAGTGTCAATGAAGAAAAATGCTTGCCTGCACATGGGAGCAGCACCAGCTGTGACAGGCCTGACCTATGCTGAACGTCAGCCAAAACCACTTCCCTACAATAACCACCCCATCCACCATATCTCCAATTTTTTGATGCAGATTGTGTTAAAGCAGGACAATGCTTACCTGTGCATCAACATTTCAACTTACCCATGTGAATGTTAGACCAATTTTAATTAAATTTAGAGAAGTACTGTACATACTTTGTCGTTTTGTTTTGTATACACAGTGTGTATACAAAACGTATACACACAGTGTATACAAAACGAAATTTCAACATACAGAACATCTCTGAAGGCATCAACTTCTGATCATGACTTTCTTTTAAAGGAATAGTACACCCAAAACATGATTAGCCTTCATTTTCTACTCACCCCCATGCTGAACAACACTCTGGAGTTTTTTGTGGACTTTTATGGACCTTTCTGTCTCTGTCACCATAGACCTCCATTATTTGAATGTCAGCAGACAGCAAGAAGCCTCCCAGATCTCCAGATGCATTTGAGATATCAAAAAAGTACTCCAGAGTGTTGTTCAGCATGGGGGTGAGTAGAAAATGAAGGCTAATCATGTTTTGGGTGTACTATTCCTTTAAGGATGAAAACCCAGGAGAGAAAGAAATGTGCTGCAGGTTCAGTGATAGAGTTAAGTTTTAAATTGTAAAAAATCTGAAGGAATTACAGGATGATCAGTAGACATGTATTAAGAATGTGCAAGTTTTATTAAACCAAAAAGTGTACTAAAGCAGATCTTGCCATTTAATACATTTAGATACAGAACATGTTGGAGTTTTTAACTTTGGTGCATTTAATCAAAAAGAAGGGGGGAAAAAAAAGGCTTTAAACCTTAGCGAGTGATCTTTGGATCACTAATCAGAGCCATTTAGAGGAAACAGATCTCTAAGCAATAAGAGCACTTTATTTTATTGCTGGGGTCATTATTTTCAAATGACTGATATTTAGACTGACCTTGAGCCTCTGTAAGTGAAGACATTTTGTCAACAGAGTTTTTAAGCCAGGACTAAATAAGCTTTTGTTTTGCATACAACATTATTTAGTGCAACATACCAAAACGCATGCAAGCTCTGCTGCAGCCTGGCTCTGTAAAAGCATCTGATATGTGGAATCAAATTAATTTCTGAATTATGTTTAATACAAAAAGACGTTTTTCTATTTGGTATGTTCAAGGTCTGTATGGAAAAATAACATACCATGGATGACAGCCCAGGCCTACACAGGCAAGGTGAGACCTGCATTCAATGTCAAAAATAGAAATTTTTCAGGGTTCACTGCAGTAGCTGCAGCAAAAGTACTGGGGCAAAAGTACACGTTTGGACCACACGTGTTTAACAGCGTTAGTCCTTTAGTCATATGGTTCTAAATATGGAAGAAAATCGTAAAACTCAAGATGTGAGGATAAATGAAAGGGAGGAGAGAGGAATTTTCCATCCACTATCAACTGAAACTGTAGGAATTAACAGACTAAAGTACAAGGGACTAGCCTAATTAAGCTTCATTAATTTTATTTAGTCTTTCAAAAAATATATGATTATCTTGAAGCTAAGCAGAGCTTCAAGTAAAATAGAGACGATGCGGCAAAGGTCACGTTCTCTCATCCTGCGTCACATTTTCCTGAACCGCAGACATCACTCCAACTGACCAATAGGAGGCCGAGAAAGCCGAGGGGCCACACCCACAGCAGGAGGCAACAGGAAGCACGTTTACAACCATTAAAACTACGCATCACACTAAAATGTCTGCAAATACTACAAGATTATAAAGTTTAGGTTTGATACGTAAATAAATTGATGTCTTTCAAATATGAAGAACTGTCTAGTGTACAAGAAAACTCCATCTTCAATTGGCAATTTTTCACCCAATGAATTTTAGTCCGACTTAAAACTAGCATTCGATGTGATATTACTATAATGGCCCCTTCAAAACTACTTTTGCATCGAGTTATAAGAGAAAAGCGAGTTAAAACACAGACATCAACCACTGACCAAGACGTGCTTAAATTTCACTGCCAGAATGATAAAGCTACATGAAAAATAAAAGGCTAAATATGTCGGAACAGCTCTACAATTATCAGAACTAATGACAAGAGGCAAACTGAAATCCCTGTTGAAGGTACCCACCTTTTCTATGAGGAGGAATGTTTGTGGCGCTGTGACTGCTGGCAGACTGGGACCAGCTTCAAGGTGATCTACCCTAGTATTTCCTCACTGGAGGGAACTACTTTCTAGGGATGCTGATATCCATCCGACAAATTACAAATGAAAAAAATAATACGGTGTGGCTAATATTCTCTTAATGTAACAACACTAACGATAATCATTCAACGAAGAGTAGTCGCTGATCATATATTTATGCAAATGCTGACTTTTTCGAAAGAAAGGAATATCTGTTATGTACTGATCGTCGCGGAAGGATATGTTAACCGTTGATGGGAGTGCTTTGGTAAATTAAGAGGGCCAATGGGTAAGCGCGAAAGCATCACAAGAGCAAGAAGTGGGGCATGTGACTGCATGCAGGAAGGTATTCAGTCTGTGGTTGAATTAGTATGCCTCCTGTTGTCCCACAGATTTTATGTCCCTTTTATTTTATTTATTAGTATTTAGGATACAGGCCCACAATCGGGACAAACTAGTAATATACATGCAACATGCTTCAATATCCTGTTGCTGATTATGAGTTTATCCATCATTTGTGTTTAAATTTAGTTTCTAAACCATACAAGTTATTTTATAATTGCTAGTTAAAAACAAAAAACTACAAAAAAAACTGAATAATAAAGAGAGATAAAAGGAGAAAATTAATAGTCTCGCAATATGGCACTTCGTCGCCATCTACTGATGAAGGGTTATATGACATCATTGGGATTTCATTGATGTGTTTGTGCTTAATTGTTTGTATGAATCACAATATTTTGCTCAGGTAAGTGCTTACATCAGAGGTCTTCAACAGGGGTCCATGACTCCTAGGGAGCCCTGGGTACTGCATGGGGGTCGCAAATGTTTTAGTTGATTAGACTTTTTTTTATATTCCCCCCTGCAAGTTTTTCCACTAATGATATGTCTTTACATAAAAGCGTTTCCAGGAACTACAACAAGAATTTGCCCTTGAAACTCAAGATCATTTTAGATATCTACAATTGAGGGAAGTCAGACAACGGAAGACAATTGGTCGAATATCTGGAGGACCCAAACTACGACATCCGCTTCCAGAATTTGGAGAGAACACTGTTGGAAAAATATAATCAGTTTTTTATAACACCTAAAATTATCAGTAAATTGAAATCTACTGTTCCACCAAGTTGGACGAATAGTGGAGCATCTAATGTTAACCATGCACATATTTTCTGGCTCTGTTCTAAAATCACTCAGTTCTGGAACGAAATTAACAGAAGGATTGTAACAATATTAGGTGACACAGTACCTAACAGAAGTTTGGTTCTATATCTAGGCCTTTTGGACAATGTTGTTCTTAATAATGACTGTTTTTTGTTTAAAATTCTGTCGGTGGCTACCAAAAATGTAATAACCAGGAAGTGGGGCCAATCTGATCCCCCCACCACAAAGGAATGGATACAGACTGTGAACACATTATATGAGGCGGAGAAAAATATCAAGCAAAATGGGAAAAATGGATTAGCTTCACATCAATGTTATTGGACTAACTTGGGTAATGAAGGATGCCCTTGATCTTTGGGATATTGGAATAAGAGTTTCCCCCTAGTATGTTAGAATTGTTTTGTTGGTTCTATATTTTCTTATCTTTTGTATTGTTTTGAATGCCTTTTTGTCTGTATTCTAAAAATGCTCAATAAAAATAAAGTTAGAAAAAAAAAGAAATGTCTTTAAATAAATAATTAAAGAAAAAAAATTCAACACACTGTAGTAAACAGATAAATGGAGGCAGAAGGTGTCTTACAGTCATCAATGCACACATTCAGTGACACACAGGAGCTCTTTCAAGCTGGGCACCGCTTCATTCACAACACCTGTCCCATCAACGAGGAATCAGAATCAGAAATACTTTATTAAACCCAAGGGTGAAATTACTTTCTTTACATTACTCCATATGTAATAGAGTGACTATAGGATCAGTGTGATACAACATAATTTCATACAATATATATATATAATTAGGGGGTCCCCGCTCCATCTCATCATCAGTTTGGGGGTCCTTGGCCTGGAAAACGTTGAAAATCCCTGGCTTAGTTCATTGACTAGCCATTTCAGTTCCTGAGGGCTGGTATCCTGTGACTTTTAGATGTTTTTACTCGGTCCAGCACACCGGAGTCAAGTAATTAGGTTATAAAGGAACTTCAGAGAATTTAGTGTATGCTGATGAGGTAATTCAGCCATTTAATTTAAGTATACTGGACCATGGAGGAATCTATAAGTTGTAGAATACTGCCCCTCAGAAACTGGAATTTCCCACCCCTGCCTTAGATAATAATATGTATTATTATTGTTATGCTATGCCACTGTAAAAACTGTTTATTTTTTGTTTTTTGTTTTCTGTTTCTTCTTTTTTTCCAGCTAGGCCAGTCTAGCTGTAAGAAGAAGAAAAAAAAAAAGACAGAAAAGCAGTCTTTGCAAAATGTTAAGCATTGATTTGCAATATTGTAAACATGCTAATTTTGTATCAGATTAAAAA